CGACGTGGCACCTAGGGACGCGGGTGCCTGGGTCCTCGACTACTAAGAACTTGGACAAGAGAAACACATTAAGCACTTGAGCAGGCACCTACAACTCACTTGCTCAATTACCTACCTACAGTAAACTATGTCTATAACGATCCTGTATCTTAGCGATATTCGGGCTTTTACGATAATTCACAGTTATCTAAGGTTTTTCCCTAGTAAATTATTAATAGTTGCATTACTAACAATATTATTAACTTTTTGCTTAGTTACTATATATTTTAGTGTTTTATTGTTATTAGGCCCCTGCTATAAGCGCTAAATTTTGCTGCCTTTAATGCATTTTTCTTTCTTTAATATTACTATAATAATGCCTCTATTTATTATAATATTATAAATTTAACCTCTTTTATTATAATTTCTTAAGTTATATATAAGTAGATGCTAATTAGTTATTAAGAAAGGCAAATTATATAACAAAAGCATTATAAGAATCTCCTTTAGCAATAGGCATAGCTCTAGCAGTAGGCTTATAATAAATTTAATTAAAACTTCTCTTAATTTACAATATCTAAGTTAATTAGTATATAATATAATTATATTAACATTAAAAAGCTCTTAAATACTTAAAAATGCTATTAAGCAAAATATTTATTACTTAAGTTAGCTCTCTTTAAATTAATAACTTAATTAAATAACCTTAGTTATATTATTACTAGCAAGATTATTGCTAGTCTTGCAAGATAGCTTTAGGAGAAGATAGAAGACTTTAATAGCTTAGAGACTTCTTTATTCTCTTAAGAATAAGTTAACAGCTTTAAATTACGCTTTTATATTAAGAAACATAAGATTAATAGCAAAAGTAAGTCTGCTAATACTTTTAATTCCTCTTAAGACCTTACTGCAATATAAGAAATAAAAAGACAGTACTTAAATAATAATACTTGTAATATAAATAAAACTAAGCTCTTTTAGCGTAGAAATCCCTTATATATACTAGCAATAAGTCTATAAAAGAGGACTAAGCAAGATAAAGCCTATATTATAGTCTTACTTTATGCTAATGCATCTAGAACTTATTAGCTTAATCTTTAGATTATTAATAAGTCTAAAAACCTATAATATTTTAGTAAAAATAACAGCAAAATTACTACCTTTCTAGTATACTATTAAAGTAATGCAAAGAGCTAGATAAACTTTAATATATTTCTTAAATAGCTATAATAGTTTAATTAATAAATAAGCAGCTATTATATTCTTCTTTTATTAAATAACTTTAGCGCCTACTAATATACTATAAATAAAGCTATTTTTATAGATATTCTTGCTAATATAATAGTTGTTTTTCTTCTAGCAAATATAATAAGCTTATATTAACTAATAGACTAAGGAATTATTAATAATCTTAAGGTCTACAATTAAAAGCAGTAGCTATAGTTTATAGCTAAATTAGCTTTCTAGAATATTAACTTAATGCCTTAATTAACCTTATTAAAAGCTATTATATAGCTTATATATATATATAGCATAATAGTATAAAAAAAGATACTATTGCTAATTATTAAAGGAAGTTAAAGCTGCTTAGCAATATTTATAGCTATAAGTGCTAGCTAAAGAATTAGAATAAAAGCTGTTAGTTCCTTCTTGCTATAGCATGCAATATTTGCATTTAAGGCGTTATAAATATTAGAAATATTATTAATAGTAACCTTAATAACTTTATTAAGCTCTTCTATAAGTATATTAATAAGAGCTATAACAACCTAATTAATAATATTATAGTAAGGTTTTTATAAGTCTATTCTCTTAATTTTAAAGACATTAATAAAGAACTTAAACTACTAGTAATTACTATATAAAAAGCGTCTAAGGTAATTAATAAATTAATTCTCTTTAAAGAATAATATAAATCTATTAATTTTAAGCTTTTTTAATAGCTTTAACAGCATTAAAGGCAGATTTAGCACAATTAGCAGGAAGCTTGCAAGGCAGCAAAGAAATAATAATCTCTTAATATATACTTTATAATATTCTTAGGTATAACTGCCTAGTAAATTTAATTAAAGGTATAAGCCCTATAATTGTTGCATCTTAACAATAGTTGCTATATTACAATAAAAAAAGGCTCACAAAGGTTATCGTTATAGAGGTGGTTTACTGTACCGTCTACCACAGGCCAACTGGTTCGTCGGCCCTTTTCAGCCTCATCGAGACCCACGGGTCCGAGTTGGCTGACACAGGCCGCAACGACTAGTCGCGATACGAACCCAGTTCACGACAACAAAGACTCTGCTCCCAAACCGCTGGCCTCTTGGCGGCAGTGGACGCCGTTTTACTTGGTTCCACATCACGCGACCCGGTCGGTTCAGTCGCCGTGCTCGGTACAACGTAGGATGATGGCGCAAGGTTGGTGGTATCAAATTGGTTACGCTCTGCTTCATGCGCGCGTCATACCAAGCACATCCACGCATGCGCACGCAAGTGGCTCGGGACGCGCTCGAGATGCCAATCTACTTGTACATCTGACTACTGACTGATCAGCGATAGACACACACGTCTGTCTGCAGCCGCCACTACAAATAGAAGAGGGCCTTTTTAGCTTCTCCCTCCATCCAAGCACAATGCAAGCCCAGCAAGAGCCGCCAACGTTCCCAACGTCCCAACCACCCACGACACGTCCCGCATTGACCGCAGGCACCGCCGCTGCAAGGGCTTCCTTTGACAAAATCCCTTGGCAACCTGGCAAGCTCACAGTTCAGGAGGAAGCTAGAAACTAACAGTTGCGAGTCTGAGACGAGAGGGCCGCAGAAAAAGGGGGGGGGGATTCACACTGTGACGGCCATCCTTTTTCTAGAAACCTTTTTTCCCTTCCTTATTGCTGCTTTTTCTTGTCATTGATCTTAGCCCTGCCATCAGTGCGCTCACAAGGAAAGCAACTCCCACCACCTGGGCTTGGGCCGGTCGACCAGACCCTTGATTATTTGTTATATATATATATATATACTCCGTATATACTCCGTATATACTCCGTATATATATAATTTTTGACCCCGGTTCCACAAGTACCGAGATGTGGTTTTTCCTTTCTTTCTCTTCCCTGGCAGGGTCGGCGCCCATCATCTCCCGCAGCACAAGACCAACCAGACTTCAACCTTGGCGCCGCCTCCGCATCACACCTGCATAAGGTTCGCAAGCCACGCATCTCGCCGCCGTTATGCGCCGAGAGGCGGGGCGGGGCGGGAAAGCTCGAATGGTCGAATGGTCGAATGAATGGTCTTCAAGTTCACATGCGAACAGAGGACACCCCCCGTTTCCCAGACCAACTCAAACTCCGCCTTCACAGCACTGTCCGTCTACATGTACGTCCGCGTCCGTCGCCGGTGTCGGGCACGTTCATTTCGCGCTACACGACTCGGTAATATGGCACGAGTGCTCCGTAAAAGCCATCTGAGGTCTCGCGACGCGCCGAGGGGAGGTGCATGCTTGTCTGCAAACTTGGCGGCGCGGCCAAGCGTGCGGGAAAACAACACCGTGGTGGTGGTCCAGAGTGCAAGGGACCGCGTGAAGACGTGGCCCCCGTCAGGAAAGTCGCGGACGCGCCTGGCGCAGTCATCGCCAAAAGCACGCCCACGGCCGCCATCCTGGGGCGTCCCTCGGATCTGCATTCGGGGCTCTGGCACATCTCGATTAGACGAGGCGTCGCTGTCTGGCCGGCTCGGCGTCGTCGTTGCGCGCGTTGCCGCCCGTCACAATGCACGGCATACATGCGTACACGCGTACGTGCATACAATACTTCATACATAGTACTTGGGCCTGGCCTCTTGGTGCACCATGGCAAGCTGGGTTTCTGCATCTTAAATACTGCCTTCCTTTACCTAGGTCCAAGTAGCCAACAAGGTATAAAGGCAGGTCGGCAGGCGGGATCGCAACTTTCCAGCCTGAACAGAACAAGAGTTGCAACGATTTGCAGTACCTAGCAGCACATGATGACATCTTGGTGCCGGATTCTCTCCTCCATGTCGCTGACTGAAAACACAATACCACCATGACTCGTTCGTCCTCCTGGGCGTCGAAGGATTTCCATTTGCTGCCATCTGCCCTGCTCCAAACGCTGCCAAGGGCCACCGTTGGACATTTCCATCTTTGTATTTCAACATGGCTTGTGTCAGCTGTACAAGTCACCCGGCACCTTGGAGGCGTACGCATTTCTTTCCTAATACTCTGACGCACGAAGCGACCTGTCACAAGGTTTGCCACTGCTGGTCTGGTCGCAACTTGGACAGACTGGCCGGACCACTCGCCCAACAGAGCTTTATTGGGCACGGCCGTGATATCGGCCAGCAATTCCGCAACCGAAATCCGTTGGCTGCTGGGATGCTCTGCCGCACCGTTTGCGCAGTCGTACCCTTCCACATATAGATAGTCTGATGCTATACATGTCGCGGGATAATCTTCGTTGCAGCGCAGGAAAGGAATTCCAGCCCGAGCTAGGAGAACCAACATACAGAACGACCAAACAAACAGCGGGCGGCCAATGGCCTCCACGGTCAAACTGTTGCTGCCTGGTCGGGTGACATCCTCGCACAAAGTGGCCCCTCGGAATAAATGCACCCGCTCACTGTCGCTAGTTATCCAATCACGCATACGTCACAATGCTATTTTTACGGCGTTCAGGACGATGCTGCCGTGTTGAGGGCGCTGGTACATGACCAACGTCTCGGTGACAGAGTGTGCCGCCGACTTTGCCATACCGCGCATCCCTAGGACGGGCTGGGCACCGTGGAGATGATGGTCAGGGTATTTTTCATTTGCGGATGCCGTCACGACGGCTGATATTTCCATAGTACATACTCGGGTAACTTTGTCCCGGGAGACGTTGTTTTCGCAATCGAAGCACTTAAAATACATGAACGAGCTCGTGGGATAGCCCGCCAAGCCGTTGCCGGCGAAACCTTGCGGCGACCGAGGAGGAGTGAGGTTTGGAAGAAAAAAAATTGAGCCGAGAGAAACTTTGATTATCGCTTGACCCAAGCCGGCATCTTGCGGGCCTTTACGTGGCCGTGCTTCTTCCTCTCAACAGTTCTCGGGTCCCTCGTGATGCATCCAGCTATGAAATCTGATTAGTATGCGGCCTCAGAACCACGGTGACTGTGACCGTGGGCTCGAGAAACCGGAGCAGTGCGTATCATACCTTTCCGTAGGGCCGTCTTTAACGCTGGCTCATGAGCGACCAAGGCTTTGGCCACAGCAAGCGTTATCGCCTCAGCTTGTCCGGTGGTGCCGCCACCTTGGACGAGAACCCACACGTTATACTTGTCCAGCCGCTCCGTTGCGGTGAGAGCCCATACGGCACTCTCGCGGTCGTGGACACGGCCAAAGGCCTCGTTCAGCGGCCTCCCGTTGACCAGCACCTCCCCGCTTCCTTCGACGACAAAAGCGCGTGCCGTTGACGCCTTACGCTTGCCCACCCCGACGGCACGGCCGAACTTGTCAACGGTAATCGGGTTGGGCATGTTGAGAAAAGGATTGATATCTCGCGCAAACTCCTGAAGGGCCGCCTTGACTTCCACGGGCCGCAGACTGGGTTCGATCAGGTTGAGTCGTTTGGCTACGCGGATCACCTTTTGGTAGTGCATAGCCTTGATGGGTTCGCCCATTTGGGCGCGCATCTCTCCCAGCTTTGTCCATGGGACCTGTGGCGCTTCGCTGGGTGCTACCGTCGGAAGGTGATGGTATCGGGTCAACAGATTCGATATCCGGATGTACAGGTCGTTGAACTGGGGTTGTCTGGAGAAGTATGACGGAGTCGCGGGAACCGTCCGCGCGTGTGTAACGCCCTGATAGGGCATCTGAACAGATTCCATCAGGTCCGCAGCGGTGGCATCGTCGTGTGTAGTGGCAGTCTTGAGTGTGCGGATGAATAGAGGCGCTGGCAGCTTCCAGGCATGCTGGCGCCATTGCGGCCTCGCAAGCTGTCTCGGACATCTCAGATGCCGCATGGCATTGGAAACGGTGGCCATAATGACACGTCGCCGTCGCAATCGCACAATGCCGCCACTTGTCGTTGCTTTTCCCTCTCGATCAGAACTCGGAGTCTTCTTGAGCCATGACGGAAATCGAAAACTTGGCGCACCAAGGAAGCTCTGCAAGACAACTATCACGTGCCGATAAGATTGACGCCACCAATCAGCCATGATTCCTAGTCCAGCCACGTAGCGAGGGGCAGTTGGCGGTTCGACGAGCTCCCCAATTTTTTTTTTTAAAATTTCCTCGACCCCTCTCGTACCCCGTTCATCTCACTTGTCTTCCTCAGCATCACCTTCACATTTTCGAATCTCTGACAAAATGGCTTTCGGCACCCTTTTCACCCATTCTGTGCGTCAAGTCTCGTGTGCGTCTATCGGTCCCCGAAGGCTGTCCTCTAACCATTGGACATGATTGTAGGACAACCCCCGCTCCCTCGCCATCAAGGCGGTCGCCAAGGCCAACAACCTCGACCTCAAGATCTCCGAGGTTGAGTTTGGCAAGCCCACTGCTGAGCACCTGAAAGCCAGCGGACTTGGCAAGATCCCTGCTTTCGTTGGCGAGGATGGCTTTACTCTCTCAGAGGCGATCGCCGTCGCCATTTATAGTAGGTTCTCCCTGCTTTTCCTACGACTGTTTCTCAGCCTAGTGCAATCCGTAATCCCTCCCAGCAGCACTTACTTAGTATCTGGGTGTTGGAGCTCGTGCGTATGATGACTTAGCTTTTCATTTTATACAGTTATCCCTGTCTGAAATTTCTTTCTTGGGTGGATAAAGCCTAACTTCTGATCTCTGCCTAATTGCCTTTTGAAATTGGTTAATGGAGTCATGGATCCTCAATCTTGGCGGGATTAGACGCTAACATCGTCTGCAATAGTCACCTCCCAGAATGAGAAGACCACCCTCCTTGGCAAGACCAAGCAGGAGTACGTATTTCTCTGAGCCATTCGTTCTCCAGATTCCAGTTGCTAACTGCCCGCTAGCTATGCTTCCATCCTGAAATGGATGTCCTTCTTCAACCACGAGCTCGCCCAGGCTTTCGGCGACTGGTTCCGACCGCTTCTTGGCAAAGCTCCCTACAATAAGAAGAATGTCGAGGATGCCGCCAAGGCCGTTGCCAAGGCCGTCGACGTCGTCGAGAAGCACTTGCTCAACAACACGTTCCTTGTTGGCGAGCGCATCACTCTCGCTGACCTGTTCTGCGCCCCTCTTCTCAACCGCGGCTTCCAGTACTTCTTTGACAAGCAGTGGCGCCAGCAACACCCCAACACCACCCGTTGGTACGAGACTGTTGTCAACCAGCCCATCATCACTGCCGTTGCCAAGCCGCTTCCTCCCCTGGAGAAGCCAGCCTTGACCAACGTCCCTCCCAAAAAGCCCGAAGCTCCCAAGCCGGCCCCCAAGGCTGCTGCTGCCCAGGCCGCAGCCGACGCCGAGGACGATGAGCCTGCCCCTGCTCCCAAGCCCAAGCACCCCATTGACCTTTTGCCCCGCGCCACCTTCCCCCTGGATGAGTTGAAGCGCAACTACTCCAATGCCAGGACTGCCGACACCATCCCGGAGACCATGAAATGGGTCTGGGAGACGGTTCCTTTTGAGGAGTACTCCATCTGGCGTGCGGACTACAACTACAACGATGAACTCAGGATGACTTTCATGTCAAAGAACCTCATCGGTGGCTTCAATGAGCGAATGGAAGCCTCCCGCAAATACGTTTTCGGAGTGGCTTCAGTCTACGGCAAAGACTTCGACTCCGTCATCCAGGGCGCCTTCATCATCCGTGGCCAGGAGTTCGAGCCTGTCTTCAACGTCGCTCCCGACTACGAGCAGTACACCTTCAAGAAACTCGACCCTAAGAACGCCGAGGACCGTGCTTTCGTTGAGCTGCAATGGGACTGCGGCAAGCCAATCACCGTCAACGGCAAGGAGTACGAGCACGCCGGCGACAAGGTCTTTAAATAAACTCTGGGATGTAATTGACGGCATGAAGCGATGATGATTGTGGAATCGAAATGGAATGGAGGGTTACGAAAACAAAAAATAGCTTGAGAAGGCAAGTATGGAATTGATGCACGCTGCAACATGAATGCTATGAGAGCCTCCAAGTCAGGCGCAGAAGCTCGTTTGTCAATGGTGAAATGAGCAAATGCAAAGTCGACTCGACCGGATAGAACGCTTGCCCTGTAACTGGCTGTATTGTGATGCGTTTGCCGCGTAGTCTATAAAAATGGGTATCGCAAAATGGACCATCCATACTCCGTACACATTTACTGTTGGCCGGGCCGGCTTGAGTTCGATTGCGTCACGCACGCACACCCAGGCTTGCCCAGTGGGCACCAAAACCCTCGCGGCACACCAAGGTCACTCATAACTTATAAACAGCGAAGGGTGCGAACAAACACGCCTAAGACAAGGTGTACTGGGGGTCCAAGGCGAAGGGGTTCAGGCGCATGTACCGACTGACATCGGCCTGGAAGCACAGGGCGTTGAGGTAGTCGTGGACCTGGGGCAAGACGTCGGGCAGCTCGGCCTGCAGGCCGGAGAACTCGGGGACGGGCAGGATGTTGTAGGGCTCGCTCCGCCCCTTCTCGCGCGAGTCGTCGACGAGCACCGTGTTGGACTGGTCCCAGCGCCCGGCGCGGGCGGCGTCGGGGTGAGCCGCCCTCACCTGCGGGCTCTGCCAGACGGTGGAGAGCCTCTTGTACACCTGGACGCGGGCGTCGTAGTCGTCGGGCGACAGGCCGAGGCGGTCGCGGGCCCAGATGACGACGCAGCGTCTGCACTCGGCGGGGGTGAGGAGCTGGGCGACCATGCTGTCCACGTTCTGGGGCCGCGCCGACGACCAGATGGCCAGGTGGAACGCGTCGAGGCAGTACCTGAGGAACCTTTGGGCGTGGGGGCGCTGGACGAAGTGCGAGGGGCGCCTGCGCGACGGCCGGTAGAGCAGCGTGCCGTTGAGGTCGAGGATGACGAGGATGCGGCGCGGCGCGGGGAGGAGGGCCGGCGGCAGGAGGGCCTGGGCTAGGTAGCGGCCCGAGGGGGAGGGGATGCCGCCGGACGCGCGGGACGGCGGGTGTCGTGGGTTGAGGGCCTTGGCGTCGCTGTCCGAGGAGCTGCTTCGCGTCAGGTTGGCTGGCTGGCGGGTGTGTGCTTTGATGTTTGACGGGACGGGAGTGAGGGGAGCGTGGACTGACGCTTGGGGGGGCTGGACGCTGTAGAGGCCCCTTTTGCCCGTCTTTCGCTTGATTCCTTTCTTGGGGGCGGGTTCTGGCGCGACTGTCTTGTTGGCCAGTCCTAGGGCGCTTGCCGGGGCGGCGAGGGACGACGTGAAGGCATTGATGGCGGTTTGCTTGAGGGACGGCGTCTTCATGGCGGCGGAGAGGACGCGGCCTGGGAGGCCTGTAGCCATTGGCTTGTGTGCTCTGATGTCGATGTGAGGGTGGTGGTGTGGGAAGCTGGATGCTCTGTGGGCGTCGGCCAGCCGTGGATTCGAGCTCGAGTCTGGCGATGCGGCTGGACGGTGAATGAGTGACGAGTGATTCGTCGCGTCGCACGTGCGAGGGCTTCCTCGTGGGTGGGGAGCGCGGAGCAATACGTACCCATCCAAGGTCTAAAAGTGTATGAGACTTGGTCTTTTTTTTTTTTTTTTTTTTTTTTTTTTTTTTTTTTTTTTTTTTTTTTTTTTTTTTTTTTTTTTTTTTTTTTTTTTTTTTTTTTTTTTTTTTTTTTTTTTTTTTTTTTTTTTTTTTTTTTTTTTTTTTTTTTTTTTTTTTTTTTTTTTTTTTTTTTTTTTTTTTTTTTTTTTTTTTTTTTTTTTTTTTTTTTTTTTTTTTTTTTGGAAATCGTTTTACTCCCTGCCTTAGGCATTTACATCGAATACGCGCACCGCTCCGTAGACAGGCTGTCAGGAGATCCGGGATGCTTTCTTTTCTTGATACCGTGCCGACTTGTGCACAGCATCTTTACATAAATTGACTGCTGCACTGATATCACAACCGTTTCGGGCCAGTTCATTGGCGCGCTTATTATTGGGCCTTTGGTTTGGAACATCTCTCCGACGACGTTTCATGTTGAAAACCTGGTGTAAAAACCGACAATCCCACCACCGGGCAAGGAGCTGCTTATCGATAAGCACGCGCTCGCATGGAAATGAAATAAAAAAAGCCCCATCTTCCCCAACCGACAGTCCTGGCACTGCAGCCGAGCGTCCGACACACACTGCAATTCACCACACTATGCCGCCGAAAAGAAAAGTGCCGTCACTCGGCCTCGAGCGTCGGGTGCGAGCAAGACGCGAAGACAGATGGGAGCCGCAGCCAGAATCGGAACAAGACCCTTCTGATGACGACGGGCCGGCCACGGCGGGGATCAGCCGTCGCCGCAGCAGCGACGAAGACGACGACGACGACGACGACGACGACGAACAAGACGACTCCCAAGGGAGTGAAGCAACGGTACATTGGCGCCGGAAACCCCATCACCGTGGCGCGCCCGACGTTCACCGCTGACGCGCCCAGAACCAGTCCGACGACCAAGACGACGACACGCCCACGCCCAAAGTCGACCTGAAATCCATCTCGTTCGGCGCCCTCGCCCGGGCACAAGCCTCCCTCCCCACGCCGGCCCGGAAACCCAACACCCCCCAGCCGTCCTCCCAGCCCTCCCGAGAGCCCGGCAGCTTCCGCTCCAAAAGGGCCTCGACGACGGCGCCCCCCCGACGCTCCTCCAAACACGCACCCCTCGAACAGAGCTCCAAGCGGCCCGTCAGCCGCATGCGCGGCGTCGTCCCCGACAACCGCCTCAAGGCCCGCGATCCGCGCTTCGACCCGGCCGTCAGCCGCATCGGCAAGCTCGACGAGGCCAAGGCCCGCCGGGCGTACGCGTTCCTCGACGCCTACCGCGACAGCGAGATGGCCGACCTGCGGGCGCAGATCAAGCAGACCAGGGACGACGGCGCAAGGGAGACGCTCAAGCGGCGCCTCGCGTCGATGGAGTCCAAGAAGAAGGCCCGCGCCGCCAAGGACGAGCAGGACCGGCTGCTGGCCGAGCACAGGAGGAAGGAGAAGGAGCTGGTGGCGCAGGGCAAGGCGCCCTTCTACCTCAAGAGGAGCGAGCAGAAGAAGCAGCTGCTGCTGAGCAGGTACGACAAGATGAGCGAGGGCCAGGTGGACAGGGCCATTGAGAGGAAGCGCAAGAAGGTCAGTGGGAGGGAGAAGAAGGAGTTGGACGGGCTGCATAGGCGGCAGAGGCAGAGGTGAATCGTGCCTCTGTCCAGCGGCGGGTACGGTGCGGTGCAAGCACAAGTAGATTGCGGCTTAGATGTACTTGGCGAGACGGACTCTACAGTGCTCTCGCGACGAGATTGCGTTTCACGTGCCGCCTCGCAGCGCGTATTTGTGTTTCCTCTTCCGGGGGGGGGGAGGGGTGTCCCAATTTCGGTCAATCTGCGCGCATGATCTGGTGACGCTTTTACAGCTACTAGTCAGGGTCGTGGCGGTGGTCTTTCATTTAGCTACGCTGTGCCCTCCCCTTCCGAGTTTGTCTATTTGCCCTCCTTGTCGTGCAGCTGTGCCGTCTATTTTTGTTCTATTGTACACGCCGTGTGGGAGGCACCTCGTTCTCCTCTGTTCTAGTTGACGTATCCTGACCGCTGGACGCTGTCGGCAAACATCTGCTTGCAGGGGACCTTGCTGCCCAGCCTGGCGCATAGCAGGAACGCGCCGCTCAGTTTGCGGTGCAGGCTGTACGTCTCCTCTGGCGGAGGGGCCAGTCGTTCCCTCAGCATCACCGGGATGAGAGCCTTGACTCTCTCCGTGATGGTCTGGTCTTTGAAGTCGTACACTTCTGGGGCGGACTGCATGAACGGCTCGGCGAGCGTCAGTATGGACTGCGTGTGCGCTGCGAGCATGGTCTTGCTCTCGTGGCCGGTCAGGTAGCCCAGACGCTCGGACAGGTCCTTGATGGCGGCGCCGTCGGAGCGCGACGCAGCGTCCAGGAGCTGGACGTACTGCCGGACAAAGGCTTCGGGGTAGTCGCGGGAGGCGCCGAAATCCAAGAGCACGAGCTTCCCGCGCCGGGCGTCGTACAGGAAGTTTGTCCAGTTGGGGTCCGTCTGCATGAATCTGAACTCGGTGATTTCCCGGAGGCACAGACGCATGACTTGCGTGCCGATCCAGTCGCGCTGTTCCGGGGTGAAGGACGTGACGCGGGTGACGCCCACGCCGTCCATAAAGTCCATGGTGAGGACTTGCCTGCCGCAGGCCTCCAGGTGGACGTTTGGTGCCGCAAAGACGTTGTGCTCGTCCCTGAGCAGCTCCCTGTAGCGGAGGGCGCATCGGGCCTCGCGCTCGTAGTCGCACTCCCAGCCGAGTTCGACACGGGCGTTGTCGATGGTTTTGTCGAGGTAGAGGCCCTTGGGGAGCAGTTTTGTGGCGTTGAGGAGCATGCCGAGGTTGTCAAGATCCGAGTTGATGGAGTCTGCGACTCCGGGGAACTGGATCTTGACGGCGACTTTTTCGCCGCTCGAGCGAAGAGTTGCCTCGTGGACCTGGCCGATGGATGCGGCGGCCGTGGGCGTCTCTTGAAATTCGCCGAACAAGTCGCGCCAGTTCGGGCCCAGGTTGGTCACCAGGACCTTGTCACGCTGCCAGGCAGGCATGTAGTCTGCCCTGTCTTGCACGCGCTGCAGGACTTCTTGGATGGGGGCAGGGAGCATTTTTGAGTCTTGAAAACTCATCATTTGCCCGAGCTTCAAGGCGGCTCCCCGCATTCGCGACAGCTTCGCAACCATTCTTTCCATATTCTTGCCGCTCAAGAGGACAGACCCTTGGCCGCCACCCCCAAGGGCTCTGCTTACACTCTCAGTCACGGCCCCCCCCAGCATGCCAGCCGCTAGGCCGCCGTAGTTCCAGAGGCGACTGAAGCGTGTCGCTGGAACTTTGGACTCCCGGAGAGCGTAGGCTGGCGTGCTCGGGGCTTCGACACTGGCCACGTTATGGGCCAGTTCTATGTTCTCGTGGCCCAGCTCCGTCGCCTCGGGTTGCGTTGGTTGCTGAACGGGTCTCGTTGATATATCTGAAGTCGACTGCGACTCGGCGCCTCTGGCACTCGAGCGTGAAGGGGTCTTTTCTTCCGGCGTTGCTTCTGTAGGTATCGTAGGCGGCGGTGGAGGCCAATGCCGCATAGGATGGTCCTTGGCTGGACCGCCCGGTGGTGGTGTCGAAGCTGCGTTTCCCTTCCGTACCGCGCTCAGTACGTTTGAGCCTCGAGTGGTGTGAAAGACGTTGATGTCGACGCCTTCTGGAAGGTCCCTTCTTTCCGCGGCAACCCTAAGGGCCTCTTGTCTCTGCTGGGCGGCCTCTGCATACCCGTAAGCAGCACTGCCAGCCCCCCGCGGCCCGTCGGTCCCTATTTCAGGACCTTCATTTGCGGATCGAGGCCGACTTTGCTCTACAGGCTCAGTTGGCTGCTGGTCTCGGTCGCGTCCTTCCTGGCCGGGACGCCTGTTCTCAGGTTCGCTTCGGGCGGCCGCGGCGGCGGGATTCGCATCTCGCCATTTGGTAGTGATGTTTGACGTTTTGCTATATGCGTCAAGCTGCCGTGATCTCAAGGCTATGTGCTTGGTAGCTACGGATCGCGAGGCGCTGAGCAGCGCTGCAACATCAATGGCCAGGTCTGCGAGCCTCATGACCGCTTGAAGGCTACGGTTGCCGACTGCGCATCGATACCTGAGCTGTGGCTGGCGATATGACTGTTTTTATCGAGTCGGGTTGAGAAGGGCGACAGCTTGGTGCTCGGAAGTGGTGGGTAAGGAAGGGCGTTTCTCTTTTTGGGCCTCCCATGGCAATATGCAGGTAAGCGAGTGCCGACTACGTCCACATACAACATATAGTACGTCATCAGAGGAACGTGCTTTGCGATTTCGCTTTCGAGTTTGATTTCCAATTTGTTTCAATGCCAGATTTCCGTAATTGAAGCCAACTCCCCTCTATTGGTAGCCTAATCCCGTGTCACACCAAACCCACGTCTTAATAATCCCGAGGTCTTTTCATTCCCATTCAACGCCGTAAAAATGCTCATGTGTAATCTAGAATTTTCGGCTTCGTGAGAGTGATCGTTCTGTCCATGTACAAAATGGTGCCACGAGGTGAGGCCTGATAGTCCGCCGAAAGCCTATTCCTTCTTGGTGCCGGGCCGACCGACGCTTCTTAAGAGTGATCCTCTTGGTTTAAGAGGAGTAGACGGCCCAAAGGCACTTCCAGGCGTCTTGTTGCCTGGAGTGGCCATCTTGCTCCACAATCTTTTAGCGGCAGGAGTCAGGTCTCCCGGCACTCTGGGACTGCTAGGAAACTTGGGAACTTGTGGCGTCGTGTCTTTGCCGGTGAAGCCGTATCGCGATGATTCCTTGTTGGATTTGGAGATTCGATCGACCATGCGTTCGTGAAGAAGCTCTCTTTTCCTCTGCTCTTGAAGCTTAAACGGATTATGAGAGTCGCCTGGTCCCAAATTAATGGTAGTTTCTGCTGCAGAGGTGTCCGGTCCGTCGTCATCCTCATCGTCGACAAAAGAGTAGCCATTTACCCTCGGAGTCTCACCGCCACCGACAACGCTTGAATCTTGGTCGACTGGGCGAGGCTTTCCTGCAATGGCATCCCTCACAGAGGACATGGTAGGGGACGGCGGTCGCTCAGGCGCATAGGTTCGGGGGGCCCGGGTGTTGGCGTACAAGATGGCTCTGGGACCCATTCGAGAAGCATCGTCGGCTTGCTGGGCCATGGTTACTACGCCGTCCTCGAGACCTTTCGGTTCAAACATGAGCCCATTTTGGGGTGCTGCATTCCAGGCATCTGGTCTAGCTGGTCGGTCTTCACGGTCCTTGATGGCAAGTCTGTCGCGTTTGAAGCCGTCGTCCACCAGACTATGGGTCTGCGCCAGCCTGTCTGTAACCTCCTTCTGCTTTATCATCATTTTGGAGGGCAGCTTGTTTTCTCGCCACAACCAGGCATATTTGTCAGCCTTTTTTTGATTCTGCTTGTCGACCAATTTATAAAAGCTTTCATTGTCTTCACTGGTATATGTCGCTTGAAATTTGGAAAGACTCATGTTGGCGTCGAGTCTGGGGCGTACTTGGGTCACGGCGGATGCCAACGATGCCGGCGTTTCTCCTACAAAGGTGGTAGGAGTACGGCCGCCATCGTTGAATGGTTGGGATGTTGATGGTCTCTTGTGCCGTCCCGTTGTCATGACATTTTGCAATCTCCGCCTTGCGCTGGATATCCAGGCGGCATCCTTGGACTCGAGAGCATCGAGATATTCTTGCTGGATTTCGGTTTCCAGCAGGCCAGGGAAAAAATCTCTGGTAATAATCTGTGAGAGAGTATCGGTGTATAGTTCTTCATCGAGCACCTTCTTGGGCCTCTTGATCTGCTTGACCGGCGGCGGTGCGGGCATCAACTCGGTATCTGCCCTCTTCCTGACAAGGGCGACGGAGGCCTGGTCTGCCCGGATGTCCATTTTGGCACTCCGTATCTGAGAAGAAAGTTTATGGTCTGGGATTACAGCTCGAGGCGCATATTGATGAGCGGGATGCAGTACGGAGTAGGAGGACTTTGAGTTGCGCTGCCTGGCATTGACAATCGCGCCGAAATGACGGGGCAGATCAAGTTCCAATGACAGCCCCGCCCCGCCAATATGCACCAAACGGGGCTCGTCCGTCGCCGCAGTAGTAGTACTAGTACGCGCGCCTGCTTCACCTGGACTGTTATCAATCAGCCATTTTTCCTTGCCAACTTGCTACGTAAGTTACTGCCGGACACCTGCACGTCGCATTCACCGTCGGCCTGCAGCGACCATGGCAGCAACGAAAATGAAGCTCCATCCCATCTGCACAGAGTCTTGCGACCTTTTTTACCTTGAATGGCAGCCGTTGTTGCTCAGCCCTAGCACGCGAGTGTCCGCCGGGGAGGTACTTGGCGGCCTGTCCGCTATCAGGCATCGCGTGCAGGCTCGTGCCGTGCCCCGTGTCCGATCATACCTGTCCATGCCATGTCGCAGTTGATGGATTGAATGTGTTGATTTGTTGGTTCCTGGTTTGCCCCAGCCGTGCGAGACTCCCCGAGGCCTGCCCCTGTAGGCTCCCTCAGCTACCAAGGCTTTTAGGGTGGATTTTCAGGTACCTGTACGGAGTAGGCCCTATCCATACCGACCTAGGTGAGAACCTACTAAGTACCAAGTACTTAAGTGCTTACTTTAAGTACCTACCTAGGTACTTACCTAACTCAAGTACCTTATCTCGCTCACTCTGCCCCACTTCTACAGCTTCGATCTTGTCCATGTCACTAAAGCACCAGTTGAGCTCACATACAGAGTACTTTAGGCACTTAAGTAAGTACAAGTAGGTACTTACTTAACTTAGTGGGTGCCTAACGCACCAGACCTGGTGGCAGCTGTATGGCCCCCACTGGCTGTAAGCCCCCGTTCGACGCCGTCTCCATCTCTTCTGTTGTCAACTCGGACTTTCCATCAGGGCACCTTTTTTTTCCTTTTTTCCTTTTTTTTGTTGCTTCTCTTGTAAGCGCCGCGCCTGTTCGCTTGCGCCCTTAGCCTATGCCTTTTCTTGGTGGCTATAGACGCATAGAAGGCTTCAATTGTATTCTTTGTTCAAACACGTCTATCTGCATTCACCTTCACTTGGCTGGTGTAGATATACTACACTCCATTCCCTCGGCTTCTGCCCACTTCTTCCCTCCGGCCGTCGCCCTCCGCCTCGGGCCGCCGCATCGCAATGTCGCAAGAAGCCGTTGATCTCAAGAACAAAGGCAACAAGTCCTTTGCCTCTGGCGACTATCCCGCGGCTGTCGACTTCTACTCCAGGGCCATCGAACTAAACGAGAAAGAACCAACATTCTTCACCAACCGAGCTCAAGTACGTACAGGCCACATCTCGGCCCTTCCCCCCCGACCCTCAAGGATACGACTTCTGTCAGAGTCGTGTGGCTGACCCTGGCGCCCCTCATTCGGACACATGTAGGCTTACATAAAGACCGAAGCCTACGGATATGCAATTGCAGACGCCGGAAAGGCCCTTGAGCTAAATCCCAAGCTCGTCAAGGTTCGTGGCTCCCTCGTGATGCCATTCCTGGCTTTGGACCACTAGCCTGATTCCTGCTTAGGCTTACTACCGACGTGGCCTCGCCCGAACCGCTATCCTGCGACCCAAAGAAGCGATTGATGATTTCAAAGAATGCGTCAGACTGGACCCCAATAACAAAGACGCAAGACTTAAGCTTGAGGAATGCAAGAAGATTGTGCGCCAACTCGCCTTTTTTGCCGCCATCGAGGTTGGCGATGAGCCCTCAGCTGCAGAAGGTCTGGACCTTGATTCCATGCTTGTTGAACCCGAGTACGATGGTGTGCGTTTAGAAGACAAAATGACGCAAGAATTCATCGACGACATGATGGAGCGCTTCAAGAATGGCAAAAAGATCCACAAAAAATATGTTTACCAAATTATTATCGCGGTCAAAAATATTGTCTATGACGAGGCTACCATGGTCGAGATGGACATCGCCGACGACGTCCAACTAACAGTTTGCGGAGATACTCATGGTCAGTATTCTCTGGACACGGCTGGAGTGTTGGCTAACTTTTTCCAGGCCAATACTTTGACCTTATGGAACTCTTCCGTCGCAATGGAACCCCTAATGACAAACACTGGTACTTGTTCAACGGTGACTTTGTCGACCGAGGATCATGGTCAACCGAGATTGCCCTGCTTCTGTATGCCTTCAAGTGGCTGCGGCCGAATGGCTTTTTCCTCAATCGCGGCAACCACGAGACAGATGACATGAACCGCGTCTATGGCTTTGAGGGAGAGTGCAAGGCCAAGTACAATGAAAGGTACGTCCTGCTGACCCTGCATGGCATGGTTTTGCCACTATAATACTGAATATCTACGACAGAGTCTTCAAGCTATTCTCAGAGAGCTTCTCTGCCCTGCCCCTCGCTACACTCGTTGGCAAGAAGTACCTCGTTCTCCACGGAGGCCTATTCTCCGATGACAAGATCACCTTGGATGATATCCGCAAGCTGAACAGGCACAACCAGAGGCAACCTGGACAGGCTGGTCTTATGATGGAGATGCTATGGACAGACCCGCAAGACGAACCTGGTCGAGCGCCTAGCAAGAGAGGCGTGGGCATGCAGTTTGGGCCCGATATCACCAAGAGGTTCTGTGAAAACAACGGCCTCGAGGCTGTCATTCGAAGCCATGAAGTGCGTATGGATGGTTACGAAGTCCAGCATGACGGAAGATGCATAACCGGTATGCTTTGCACTGGTAACTGTTGCTGTTTCTTATTTTGCGCTAACATAAAATTCTAGTCTTCTCTGCACCCAAGTACTGCGACTCCACAGAAAATCGTGGAGCTTATATCAACATCAAGTCCGACTACAAGCTCCGGTACGAGCAGTTTGACGCTGTGCCCCATCCGGACATCAAACCCATGGTAAGCTCGTCATGTAAAGGCCTTTTTCCAATTCCACCTCTGTCTTTCTCTGACAGGTTTTTAGGCATATGCCCAAAGCTCTCTCATGTCTTCTCTGATGTAGAATCAGACAAGATTTATCAGGTTAAAAAAGGTTTTCAAAACGGTCCCGATTATTGCGTCAAAGACAGCATTTGACTTGGAGTCAGGAGATGGCAGCATTACAGGGTGATTTTTGTATCCCTTCATTCTTGGTTCCCGGGTCGGGTGAAAAAAAGAGCATCCAGTACGTAGATACCCGTAGATGTACATCAAAATCTCGTGTCACTTCAATCATCCATCAGCCAAGTCCGCAAAAAAAAATTTGGCAGGTTCATTGTAGTCATTCAGGGCTGTCCTGCCACCTATCATCAGTAAGAGGGCCCAGCCAGTCTGAGCACGTCTGTACTCTCAGAATATATCTCGTATTTCCCTCAGTCACACCTCCGTACGCTGTTACAGCAGCGCAGAAAGACAGAAGGTCTTCTTTCGGCAGCCGAACCCAGCATGCTTCCTTTGTCGTCTTGAGTATGTCAATGCGCATAGCTTCCCCCATGAGCCCGAGGTATTGTTTCAGAGCAGCGGTAAAATAAGATTTAGCGAGGATATTGTCCAGTTGTATTTCTTGGGGTCCATCTGAGGCGAGTTCTAGGTGGACGTAGCCGTGTGGTGATGATAGCGTCTTTGTGTGCAGTACGCGAGAGGTCTCTTGGTCCCGGTCCTGGGATGGTTTCTCCGATGATGGTGCTGAAGACATTTTGGAGATGATTTGTTTCTGCTCATTGAAGAGTTAATTCTTTTGGGTCAACAAGTGTCTCGAATCGCTGTTTTTTTTTTGTGCGAGAGAGTTTATATAAGTCGTGACTTCATTACATATCGGATATATGCATACCACTTCGGTGACCAAACACAAGCAAGCCCCAACTCGCTGCAGGCTGCAACACACCACCCGCCGGATCTCGTCAGATCGATCGCAATGTCAAACTTTGTCACGCCGGGCCAGCAGCGCTACCTGCGCGCATGCATGGTCTGCTCCATCGTCATGACCTACTCGGTGCGCTCGACCTGCCTCTCCCCTTTGCGTCGGCGTCGAAAGCTAACGGGTTGGCAGCGCTTCCGTGACGAGGGATGCCCCAACTGCGAAGAATTCTTGCACCTCGCCGGCTCGCAGGACCAGATAGAGAGCTGTACCTCGCAGGTTTTCGAGGGGGTCATCACGCTTGCGAATCCGGCGAAATCGTGGGTGGCCAAATGGCAGCGGCTGGATGGCTACGTGGCGGGCGTGTATGCGATCAAGGTGTCGGGACAGTTGCCGGATGAGATGCGGTCCACGCTGGAAGAGGAGTATAGGATACAGTATATCCCGTATGTTTTGCCGTGTGGAACGGATATACGACGAGGAATCTGCTAACGGGCAATTTTTGTTTATAGACGAGATGGTACCGAGACGGAGGCGGATGCGTAAGGTGTTCTGAGCAACTGATCTCGTTGGCAATATTAGGCGATTGGCGTTGGAGGTATATAACTAGATGTAGTAGTGTACAGTCATGATATTCGTGGCATCTATGGTGGGAAAGAAAGCGAGATGTAACACATAATGGAAATCCCTTCTACAGGGCTTAGCCAGCTGCTTCAGCTACTGCGCTGCTTCTTCTCGGACGACATGTTGGATCCTAACCCTGCTGATTCTCGTGATCTCTTCTTATCCATCTCTTGGCGCATGATTCTCTCCGCCTCACTCATCTTTTTTGGTTGTTCGATCTTGGCGTTCTTCTTGGGGCCGCCTGCTAGTGCGTTCTTCTTTGCTTGCGCGAATACGTTCTTGGTTTGTGGTTTGCCACCGAGTTTCATGGACACACCGCCGAAACCAGCTGCTTTGGCCTCTTCACCCTTGAGATCAAGTGATGCGGAAGGCTCCGATGGGGATTCTCCGCTGGGCGGTTTCGACGCTTCCTGTTTTGGCTTCGACCCAAACGACAGGGTGATCTTCTGATCTTGTTGGCGCTTCAACTCGCGATCCTCCCCATCTTCGGGTTTCCCCTCGCGATTCGCCGCATTAGCTTGCGCCCGTCGAATCTGCTCCTTGATCATTCTTTGCTCCAACTGCTCGTCGCCCTGATCTTGAGCCTCTTTCCGCCTCAATGCTTCCTGTCGTTTCAGGGCTTCTGGGGAGTTGTCAATCCACGAGATGTGGATTCCCTTGTCTGTTTCCTCCACGCGACAAATCCCCTCTCTGCCGAGGTGTTTGGCAAACTCCGTCAATGACGGCCACTTTGTCGCATTCATGTGGATGTGCTCCTTGTTCGCAATGTACTCTTGGTAGAATTGGTTGATGTGCACTTGTTTCTCGCCGTGGCCAGTCTTTAACAGCTGCAGGAAATGCTTGAGGAACTCGTCGCTGTATTGGTTGATGAACTTTTTGGGATCCTCGCCGACGATGAGCATTTGCCGCACATGGCTCTCCGACTGCGTGTGCATCTTGAACCCGTTCGCGTCGCGACATTGTTTCTCACAGACTTGGCAGTACCATCTTAGACGCTGGAGCCCTTTGCTCTTCAGCTTGTTCGAGAGATGCTTGGTAGATCCCACTTCGGCCTTTGGCATGGTTGCGGCAGGTCGCTTTCTCTAGCACGGTACACGAAGGCGTTTCTGTGCCAGTACGTCGATTCGGCGTTGAGAGAGAAGACTTTTGAGACAGGCAACTTCAACTGCATTTGCTGCGATGCACGAGATGATGCTGGTTAGTTTTCTGGTGAATCAAACATGTTGCCCGACGCAGCCACTCGAAGCATCAGTCAGCCTCGCATGCAAGAGGTGGGGCTTATCTTATCTGCTGCCCCGTTAGTTGCAAGTCGATTTTGGTGAGGAACGCCACTGTCACTAGGCCTCCATAAACCATTACTTTAGATCCCCAGATCCCCAAACCGACCTTACTTCCTACAACCTCTTAGCCAGCCGCGCATTTCACCCTGTTGAGTCACGGCCAACGTCTCACTCTCTCTCCTCGAGAAATACCAGGTGTCCATCACATCATAGCTTCAACAGTGAGAAGAGCGCACGTCGCGTTTTCATTGTACAATGTCGGAGCGCAAAGTCCTTCAGGTAGGTATCCACAGCGATTTTTGCCCTCCGACACCTTTGCTAACGCGTCTATTCAGAAATACTACCCTCCGGATTTCGATCCACGGGTATTCACCCGGCGCCACGGGCGAAAACCTGAAAATAGCGGTCCTCGCATCCAAACGGTGCGGCTCATGGCGCCGTTCAGCATGAAGTGCATGACATGCGGAGAGTTCATATATAGAGGGCGAAAATTCAACTCGCGGAAGGAGACGAACGTTGAGCAAAGATATCTGAACATCCAGATCTTTCAGTTCCACATCAAATGCACCAGATGCAGTGCAGAAATCATATTCCGAACGGATCCCAAAAACAATGACTACGCAATGGTGAGGGGCGCCGTGCGCAACATGGAGCCCTGGAGGAACAGGGTCATGGAGGAAGAAACGATAGACGAGAGACTGGATCGATTGGAGCTGGAAGAGGCCGAAGCCGCTGGGGAAGAGGAAAAGAATGCCATGGCGGATCTCGAGGCCAAGAATGCTGATGCCAGGAGGGAAATGGCTGCGGCAGACATGTTGGATGAGATTCGCCAACGTAATGCAAGGATACACCGGTCGGAGAAGGAGGGGACGGACTATGCCGACACTATTGTGCGAGCTGAGGATGAGGAGCGAGCAGGGCAGGAAAAGGAGGACGAGGAGGCGGCAAAGAAGGCTTTCGAAGATGCCCGGTTGCGGATCGAGGCCCTGAGCTGTGGACTGGACGATAGCTCCGGCAGCGAGGAAATGCTACAGCAACCACAGAGTGTCTATGACTCTCCGCCGGTAGCCTTGGTCCCGCCGCCTTCCTTTAAACGGGTGGTGAAGAAGAAGAAGGACCATTCAGCGCTGTTGGGAATCAAGAAGAAACCCACACTGGTCTGAACCTGGTGCGTCCATGTCAAGTCTCGGCAACCTGTTTGAGCGATTCATGTTGCAGACCTGAAGTGGCGTGTTTGTTTCTACTACCGGAGGCAATTATTTGGACGTTCACTTGGCGATGGAAATAACAGGTCAAAAGTGTGGTTTGTGTTTTGCCACCATTCTATGGATCATATTTCCTGTTTCCTGGAGATCATGTAATATACGCTCAATCAGTACTTCCCAAGCCAAATGTCCCGTGTTGCCGATATCGCTGTCCCAACGTATCAACTGAGCCAGACGCCCCCAATCTTTTCTCACAAAATATACACAACAACGCCGGTGTTTGCAATATAATTATGTTTGTATAGAAGCAGCCGGAAGTAGCGGGTAAACAACCAATCAACCACATGGCCAAGTTCGCCAAGTGCCAAAATGTACGTGTTGTGATGTTGTTGCGCCGGCCCCATGGTACTCATACACCCGTTGCCAGACTCTTTCGAGAGACATGTCTAAGAATTGTGGTTGGCGATGTCAACTAGTATGCTTGTGGGTAGTCGCCGTTGGTCAGGTTTGTGGTCGTCGACGAAGCACTACTCGTACTTGAGCGGGTGGACGAAGCGCCGGATGCCTCCATCTGTCGCTTGGTGTGGTCATGAATGAATTGCGAGTACGTTGACAGGCTGCGAGGCGGCGGAGGAGAATTTGGGATGGTGATGGTGTAAGATTCTTGGACGGCAGGCATTGTGGTGGTGGGAGTCTGGAGAGTACGACGACGGAGAGTAGTGGGTGGCGGTGGTGTGACGAGGTCGGGAATATGGAAAGCTTAGGGCCCGTGAGCTGGCCTAGTTGGAATAATCTTGCAGAGATTCGATGTAAATGTAGAAATGTGTTTGATGGGAGGGGAGTGCAGAGCATGGGCGATTGGGTCGAGCGAGTGGGCGGATTTTCAGGATCTTTATAAATCAGAGGGGGCTCAAAGCGCTGCAGCGCTGCTGTGCAAGAATGGCGGAGGTGGAACCCTGGCGTGGCTCAATGTCGGAAGCTTACAGTCAGCGTACGGACACGCCTGGGGTGTGTGGGAAAGAGTGGCGGGCACGGCGCCCAGCGTGCGAGACGGCATTCGCAGGGAAGGAGCTTGCTGCTTGCTGCTGGATCGTCCCAGACAGACAGACAGAGTTGCGTGCATTGACACCATCCCCATCTCAACTCGAGTTTGTCCACCACACTGGCTGACCTCATTCGGCTGGATTGCATGGTACGTAGGTGTGTCCCTCGACCGCTCAACCGTGACGTCTGCCAGCTCTAGGTGCTGGGTTCCTTTTCGACTAATGAATCGCTATCTTAGCTGCGCCGACTGCTGCCGTCTTTTCGACAACACTGCTTGGATGCCAAGATACCGACCGTGACGATATAACGAGGCATAATTGGACGCTACACACAAGCAGGTACCAGCAGCCAATGGCTCGCTCGCTTGCGAGCGCACATCCCTCACCATTTTTGAGTTCGCGTTGCGTCTAGGCCTAGTGATCGTCGGTGACAGTCGGGCCCCCGGTGCCCCGGGCATCTATTATGGCGTGACTGCTGTGGCATCCTCCGACGGTGGCCCCGTCTCGCAAGGTCATGCATGGGTGGTGGCACGGGACGCGGCTGACCTCAGGGTCCTCGCCACCGAGCAAAAGCTGGCCTTGGGAATTCCGTCCTTGATGCCGAGTAACTGATGTTCCTGTTTGCCAGTCCAGCCCAGCATGCTAGGCTTTTTAGGTCTCAGTCTCACTTTCAATCTTGTCACTGCTTTCCAATTAGATTCTGGTAAGTGGAGGCAGGATTGAGTGATGCACAAAGGCACGGCGGCGGACCCAAGACCGGCAATGAAGACGAGAAGTCAAGTCGAATCTCCAGATTTGCCCCGTGCCTCTCTTGTACGACTGGACTCAACACATCCTACGAAGTAAGCAGCCGTGGCATATCCCGCTGAAAGGAAACCCCCGCCGGCGCCACGGAGGCATCTGACAGCCATCGTGGATTGACGGACTCACGCCAAGCTGGCAACTACTACGAGGCCGTGATATTCTGGGACGAATCGGCGGCTAGCTCAGACCACAGTCTCAATACGTACTCCGCACTCCGTACTCCATGAATTGCTCGAGCCTGTGGGAGACGGGGACGGACTGCCAACTCTGCCAACTTTCCATGAGGTCATCGGCCAAGCGGGGACTCCTTTAGCCCAACAAGGCACAAACCCTGAGCATGGATGGAGCTAGACAAGAAAAAGTGAGGCAGCGGTGGAGCTCATCGCAAAATCACGGGCGTTGATGGGCTCTCAGACATTTAGCGGCAAGGGATAGTTGTCTTTGGCGATTTCGGTTTCTCAGCTGGGCCAGATGGCATTTACGCTTCATGCCCATACGCAGGACCACGATGTCCATCTTTGTCTATTTCCCATGATTAGAATCGCATGCTGCTCGATGGGCGCCTCTGACTACTTCGACACCTTTGCTGGCTCAACGATGAGAGAGTCAAGATGGTGGAAGAGCTCGAGCAGCAATCTTGACAGAAGGGTAAATGATGCTGCAGAAACATTGACTTTTCCACAAAACAGCCGGCAGACCTACTTTGGCGACGGGTGGCCGTTGCTCGCAAACACTCTTTTTTTTTCTTCTACCAGCCTTATCGGTAACAGCCTCCTGACAATCCAGCCAGACGTCCTCTCCGCTCAACAAGTCCAAGATGTGCGAGATCCGCCTCTCCGCAAAACAGTGACTCCAAAGTCAAAAACGGGCCCGTCTCGAGCGCAGCAGACGGTGGGTGAGGTCAGCGTAACAGGCCGGGATTCCATTGCCCCTGCCAGTGAGGTCAGCGGCCACGCCAAGTGCTGGGATCCGCACCCCCCTTGGCTCAGATGTGATGTCACGGCTAATGAAAGCGGTGGATCGCTCAAGACACGGGGGCTCCGTTCGAGACGCATGGCCATGGAGCGATGACGACGGTCTCCGTTTGGGACGAAACCGTTTCGCAGACTCGAGAGTTTCTGCCGCGGTGGCGACGCTGACCCAGTAAGATTCAAACGGGGAGTTTGCAGAGCAGATCGCACGCCTGAGCCTCAATATCCAGCTCGGCATGTCCTGTGACAATGGCACCATGCGTCACGTTCCTTGGAAGATGCGGAAAACTGCCGAACTGAGCATTTGGGGCCGTCCGTCACGAGTCACAGCAAAACAAGACACCTCTGTTTGATTCCGTTTGCTGTTCCGTAGACGGTCAATATGGCGCCGCTTGAGGCAATCCCATGCAGGCGCCCCTACCATGATCCTTCGAGTCGAAATTCAATGATCGACGTTGACCACTTTTCTCCACAGCCGACGAGGGTTTGAGCCAAACAAAAGCCTGTGATCACAACAAACGGCACGGCGGTTGGGAATCTGTGTCCATCACGGTGTAACCAGACCCTCGGTCGACTCGACTCATTTCTTGACGCCTCGAGGTATCGAACTGTAGCTTGCCTCATGTGAGAGGGGTGCACTGGTAGACGTGCTGCAAGTCATTGCGCGACTCCTACACCAGGTCTCTGAAGTGAATCAACTGATGCCATGAGACCTTCTTTTTGCCACATCAGGCGTAACACGGCCGTGTGGTTGGTTGGCACTGAACACTGACGTCTGTCTCGCTGAATAGTTGCCAGCCTTCCTGCAGGTCTCGCAATTTGCTGGCGTGCCTAGAGATACGCACCGATCCGTCCCGTCGACAAGCCGTGTGCGCAGGGGATGACTGTTTCCGGAGTATCCTGACATGACCTTCCATTCCCAAAATCACATCGGCTTGAATAAGAATGGGGGACAAGGCCATCCTGATGATCCCCGTAGAGGACAATTACTCTGGCAGGGCGTCATGACACAATCTTAATGTGGGCTTGGTTGTCGATGCGACTCGTAGTATTGAGTATGTCTTGCATTTGCATTCATCTTATCTGAACCGTTTCTTGAGGGAGAGAGGAGGGGCCGGGATTGTGTCATGGTCCATCGTCATCGTCATCATCATCATCATCACCATCATCACGGACGTCCTAGATGTCTTCGGACCCCCGTCTACCATGTGACGCACATGGTGTTTGGCCTGAAGGGACTTGGGGCGTAAAGTCTTGAAGCTACAACATGCCATACCATGACGCCTTGGTGAAAACGGCCCAGACTTTCCTTTGACTTCGAATAGCTCTGCCAGTGACGCATGGCGCCGCAGCCATCAGCCACGCATCGGTTGAGCGAAATGCATCATTACGTCGCGTCGACTTGTCGTTACTCATGTGGATGACGCTTTGCATTTGGGCTGGTCTGGAGTAGGCAACTCCATTGTACAGCAGATTCTATCACGCAATTCCGCAATAACCGCACATGCTCTCACTCCTTGAGCAAACAGTGGTGAGTAATTTACATTCCATATCACGACTGTTGCGTTCAGGCATTCAGGAACTGTGGGCAACGCAATATGCTTTGACTAAAGGGGGACAGTTTGGTCGGAAGTTCCGAGCACAGGGAACTTGATATGGCCGAGATCAATGTGCACCACGTCTCCTCTGATGTCCTCGCCGACCTCGATATTCCGTCAAAGGCCAGACTCTCTCGACGGCAATTGCGTTTGCAGCATGATATATCCTCCTGTCCCTGGAATTTGGCTTGTCATTCAAATATTCGGCTCATGTGACGGTTTCGCAGTTGCACATGGCAGTCATCTAAGAGCTCCCCCCTTTTCTCCTTTCCGCGGGGAAGCAACCCACACGGGCCGCAATACATCAACATAAAACCGGAATTGAATTACTTGACGGTAGAGATCTGTTTCATGCGCAGTTGCATCACCGTCGCGTATAAACCTTCAATCAACTGTACTATCGTACCACGCAACGCTACTACCCCTGGGCTCGGATTGGAAAGCTGAAAGCATCTCGTCAAAGCGACGAGCCACCTGCGAAGTCAGGCGCGGTGTGGCTCTCGACGGCACAATTGCAACGCGGCCGTCGTTTGAGGCGATGCATGTGTATGGAGTGACTTGGGTCGCTGAGCCCTCCATCCCTCCCAAGGCTCTGTGCGGCGTCTAACCGAGGTCGTTTCACGACGCCCACCGACGCTCGGATTTCATCTTACGCCCCACGAATCTCGCCAAAGATCAGACAATGCGGCTTCGGGTACCGGACTGTGTTTCGTGTCCAGGCAACTTTTCGTCTGTCTGCACGGCGTCTGTGCAGCCGAGACGAGTATATAAAGCGTTGGCCTTTCTGGGGTCTTGCGGAATCTGCAACTCGCTCTCGGTATCATCCACTGCTGACTTGCTTGAAAAAGACTACTCGCTACTATTATTTACCATCTTTACTATTTCCAAGTCGTCGAAATGAAGTCCCGAGTTGTTCTTGTCTCCCTTCTTCTTGGACTGGCCGCGGCCAGGCCAACACCTTCCGGTGATGCGTCGGGAGGAGGATCCGAATCAGCCGCAAGCTTCGGATCAACAGGGGGAGATCAGTCAGGAATCGTATCTGGAGGAGGTCAGTCAGCAGGAACTGATCAAGCAGGCGGATCTGGGTCATTTTCTGGTGGTATGACAGGCGAAGGTGTATCAAATTCTGTTTCAACACAGGCTGGATTTTCTGGTCCGGCAGCACAGTCGACACAGGGAGGAGGAATAGGACAAGTTCTGGGACTAGTGCAACCATTGACGCAAGCTGCAGGAGGACTGCTCGGAGGAGGAGGAGGGGCAGCGGGATCGGCAGCGGAACCGGCAGCGGGATCAGGAGCAGCATCGGGGCTGGGAGGATTGCTGAGCGGACTGGGCGGACTGGGCGGACTGGGCGGACTGGGCGGACTGGTGGGAGGCATCTAGGACCATGAGAACTAGATGGGACAAGCCGGCGTAGCCAGCAGTCGAGCGGCGGCAAAGTCGACGGCGGAACGTTCGTCTCCCAGCATCGCCGGCACATGGCACGCACGCAGGAATCAGGATACAGTTCAGTACAGGGCGAAGACAAGGCGTCGGCATCCACGACGAGGCAGGCTGCCTGGAGGTTTCGGTCATCTAGTCCAGTTTTACTTCAACGTTGGATTGGAGCTTGTGAATAGACATCAAGTCGCGTCACATCAATCTTGTTTGTCGGCTGCCCACAGGAGCAGCGTACATGTCATGCTACGTACGGCGGCGTGCCGGTTTCCGAGCACGACTCGTGACTCGGGCAAGTGCTTTCCCCCCTTTTGACACCGTACGCTCGCGAGTTTCACGAGCCGCCACAACCGAGGCCGCCATGATCCCATACCCGTTGAGTCCGTAGGGTGGCAGCTTGCTTGCGGCCAAGCACGCGACGGTGGCTTGAAACAATCTATCCGCAAGCCACCCCGGAGCGTCAAAGCGCAGCGTGTCAGGTCAATGCCGACATTCCACGTCGGCGTGTGCGTGTGCGGCCGAGAGGCTCTCTGGCAGTCTGGCCACCGTTGGGCAATTCAGGGGGCGACTCCGGAATCGCGGCGTCCACCATCATCACCAGTGACCACGGGCTGCAGCAAGCAGATGACGGTTCCGCAGTGAACAAACATGGAACGGGGCATTTTGACACGCACCAGATTAAGTTTGGACGTGAAACAACACCCCGCTGCCGTCCCTGCCGTGAAGAGATGGCGCGACGAAGCAGCCAGGGGCTGGTGGGTTGGACGCTTGGCGTCGACGCCCGAGCATCTTGGACACCATTGATGTCTGGGACGCCCCGCACCCCGACGGCGCTGGTGTGCGTGTCGAGCCATCTATCTATCCATCTGGTTCGTCGCCGCGGCGAACGGCTCGCCTGTTCCATTGCGAGGGGGCAGGGGACCATGCTCCCCCCGTGTTTGGACATTGACGTGTCGTGCTGGAGAGGGGGCTGCCGGGTGAAGATGCGCGGGTGCCGCCCGGATCCACGGACTTTCGCTCGTCGAGTGAGTGCCCTCTCTCGCTTCCGCCGGGGTCGTCCATCGTGTCACTCGACCTTGGCGGCGGCGCGAGAGTGCGCAAGGGCGGAGCACAGCGGACGCCGGCAAAATGCCCCCTCCGCGCCCGGCAAGCCCTCCGTATCGTGCGGACATGGGCGGCGGAGAGGCAAGCCCCGCTCCGGCGCCCGCAAAGCGGGTATCCCCGACGTAGTTTCCTTATTGGGCCGCGGGAGGGCCGGACCCCCGGATCTGTGCGTCGGCGGATGAGATCAGACGCAAACTCGGTCCAGCGTGGAATAAACGCCTGCGTGTACGACACTGCTGCCTGGTGCTTCAACGCGAGGTGCGAAGCGAAGTTGCATGTCGGGATGGGGGCGTTGCTGTGCACGGCCGCGGAGCAGGGGACGAGCCTGGACATGACATTGCTGTGCCGGCGAGCAAGGGACAAGCTTTGTGCGTTGGCGGGTCTTGGGTTCAATCCCGAGGCTCGAAGAGGGCTGGCGTTGGGATTAACAGACATGTCTCGGTGCGAATGGGTCTTGATCCCGAGGATGCGAACTTTTCTTTCGCGACACCGTCGGAGATGCCTCGTGTGCTGTTGTCTTGCCACCCACTGGGTTACCATTAGCGTCCTTGTTATGGTGTCTGGTTGTTTATGAGGTGGTTGCCCACATGGTCCGAGACCTCGATGTAAAAGCGAGGGAAACCTCGTTTGTTCCCTGCCACGACTTGCCCCATTCACCGCGGCAGCGTTGGTCTCTCGTCATGACCCCAGTGGGTCTCGTCGCGGTGCGTCGTGTCGTCCGCATCACCGCACAATACCGCCGAGGACGAGAGGCCAAGCCAGTTGTAATCACCTGCTTTCCTCGGGGCACAGCCATCCGCCGGGGAGTCCAGGCCCGCGTCTCGAAGAAGTAGGGCGTAGTTGCCTTGCAATGCACCTGCCAGAGAATTTGTCAGTCCGCCAAACCTGTCGATGGGTTGATACAGCGCATTGAAAATGGACCAACGAACCATGTTCGCAGTCAGGATGGTTTCCGTGCCCCCTTCTGTCAGAGCTGGTCTTGGCCTCGCCTCCAACTCGCCAAGCAATGTGTTCACTCTGTCCGTATTGAACTCCAAGAGTGATCTGACGGTTTGCTATAGGCCACGCCACGCCTCTCGGGTCAAAGGACACCAGCTCAAAATGCTTCTCGCCATCCATCATGCTTTGCATGTAGTGGCCGTCTTGCAGAATGTGATGAACGCCAGAAACGCCGGGTGCTCCAGGATTTGTGATGACGGTGCCGCCGAAGGAGACATGGCCGCAGTCCGGCAGTTTGATGACGGCAAGGGACACGGTTTCTTCTGAAGACTCGGCGTCAAGCCAATCCAAGGGCATGTCGACGATGTACCCTGGAGCCCGTACCCGCGAACTGGACATGCCATCGCACGGTGCCTTGGCTATGCGAGACATGATGTGTGTGCATTGATTTGATACCTCGATGATTGATTGAGCCGCAGGCTGCGCGTTATCTAATATCCGTTGCTGACCTAATACGGCTGGCAAGTACTCCGTCCGCACGTATGCATGTCCGTGATCCTCGAGACGTCAATTGACGTCCTCGCAAAAAGAAGCACCACCCGCACATCACAACAGCAGCGCCCTCATACCGCTCTCCAGCTCTGCCTCGCCGCCGGACAATGGCCTTTCTTGCACCCCTCACACAGCCTCTCCTCGTGCGGCTTCCCGTTCCCCTCGCCGCGGGGAGGCGGCTCGGCCCCAACGCCAGACCACACTTTGAGCCTGTACACAATCCGCTCCGCGTAGGAGCCGTCCAGAGTCGGCCGGCTCAGCGAATTGCACGCCTTGCAGCGCTGATGGAAGACCCTCGCGTTGTACCTCGACCCGGCGTACTGCCGAATCCAGATGGCGATGCGCTTGCTGGACCACCCCCTCTTGCGGCACGTGGCGTTGGGGCACTCGAAGCGGCCCATGATGGAGGTGTTGTAGTCTTTGACGTGGCCGGCCTCCTTGTCGGAAGGGTGAAAGGCGAAACGGAGCCCGTCCCGCGCCAGGAGATGCGCTACTTGGTGGTGGAGGTCCGGGAACATGGACCAGGCCTTGGTCCGTGGCGCCATTGTAGATGCCGTAGATGCCGTAGATGCCGTAGATGCTTCAGGATGCCGAAAGGGTGCGCAGTCGCCAAGAGGTGAGCCGCCGTGTGTAGGATTCTCTGCGACGGCATCAAAACGTCAGAAAGAAGCTCGCGGGGCAACGACCAAAAGGACGAGCAAAAACAACAACCACCCAAACTAACCAACCTCGAGTCCCTCCTCAAAAGATCCGACACACCAAGGAAACGAGGACAGCTTGACCGTGGAAACGGATAAAACGTGCCAACATATATCCGCGCCGTGGCATCTCACCACCACTCGATGGTTCACTAGAAACACGCGTGGATAGCTTCACGGGTCGGCAGCACGCTGACCGCTCCTGACGCCTGAGACTCGTGAAGTACGGCCAACGACGAGGAAGCTGCCCAGGGCCTCGGCCTCTGTTTTCAACCCCCTCTCTCAAAGACGACGCGAACCCGGCCCCGGCCCCGGCCCCTTCACTTGTCGCGTTCGCATCTCAAGCCGAGCAAACGCCTGCACCTGCGGTTTGTCCCCGTGTCGCGTTTGCTCCGGGCCTTCGGGCCCCTCTCTATTGGCTTCCTCCCACTCCTTGACGTCGTCGGCCTGCATCTCCCGAAGTTTGCTTGCCCTCGCAGCCCACGGCTGACGACGCGACGAGTGAGCCTCCAAGTCCAGCCCCTCCACGTCTCCATCGCCCTTCGCTTCCTGCCTCGTGCCCAAGGACAAGGAAGGCAGCTCGTAGGGGAAAAGGACGCCTTCAGCTCGCAAACATGGCGCAGACATCAGACCATCCCAGGCACACGTGCGAGCGCACCCACGCAGCATTCTGTAAATAAACCCCCAACAAGAGAACGGCACGCGGTTGCCAGACCTGCCGACGACAGCCCTTGGAGCTGTAGGCAAGAGTCCGCATCCGTCGAGCTGATTTCCTCTCGAAGAAAACTCGTCCCCCGTCCATCGTCAGCCTCAGCCTCGGGGAAGGGTGTCCTCGACCCCCGGCCCAAGCTGGGGTGACCGCAAACATCGACCCAGCCAGCCAATCAACCAAGACTCGGACTGCAAAATATGAAGCGAAGCGAGGGCATGTAGTGCTCCGAGACCCCCAGCAGCCGTTGACCAACAAAATGGACGTCGTGAGGCGCGGGACATACTGCTCACACACGTACCGACACGAACGAGACCCTCGGCTGGTCTTGCGGCGAACAACAAGGCCGTCGGGGGCCGTGGCGGCTGGCCCACGGACACGACGAGATGACGCCGAGCATGACATGGTTCGATTCTCATTACACCTAAATGTATCGTGGCTGCGCTCACCGACGCGTACAGTCCATCCAAGTTACTGCCGCTTTTCCAAGCGAAATGGCGATACGTGTCCTCACACTCAACGCCGTCTGACCCCGGCGCATACTCAATTCCCACTCAAATCCATGCTGTCCCCCCAACCAAACATGTCCATACCATTAGTATCCAAGCCGCCAAACAAGTCGCCGTCGCTGGTCGTATCCAATCCGCCCGCGCTTCCGGGGCCACCAATACCCATGTCCAGCCCGTCAACCGTCATGCCGTCCCCGCCGACGCCCACGGCTGCCATGGCATCCACGTCTCCGAGGCCTCCTGCTCCGGAGCCGAGGTCCAGCTGGATGCCCGGCGCCTCGAGCATGGCCTGGCCCTGGGGCATGACCATGTGTGCCTCGACGCGGCGGTAGAGGCGGACCACAATCTCGGAAAAGACGGGGTCTGCCTTGTGTAGCCTGCGACAGCCGTCGGCTTCGAGACGCAAGGCTTCCCGGAGCGACAGCGGTCGCTGGACGAGGGGGGGCACATTGCCGGATGCGTCCATCAGTTGGCTACTTGGTGACGGCTCGTCGGTGACGTTGGGCGCGCAGACAATGGCCGCCGCCACGTCGTAGACAATGTTGGCGCTCCCCGTTTCCGAGTGCGCGCGGACTTCTTCCAGAAGTAGCCGCAGCGTCCGCTTTGCTCCCAGAATTCTTTGCGCGGCAATCAACTGTCTGTGTGTGTAGGGCGTGGGCATGCTACTGACACTGGGATGCATGCTCCACTGGACGAGACCTTGTATCGTGTGTCTCAGGGCGCCTGCAAGTCCCGTGCTGGAGCCGTTGGTCCAAGACTCTAGTTCATTGTGCTCCGCACCACCGGTTCGCTGCGAGAGAGGCAAGCTGTCTTTCAGGGCTCTCAGGAGGGGCTCGATGTCCTGGTTCTTGGGGTCTTGACGCTGATATGTCCGCAGCGAGTGTTCCAGGGGTTTTGCCACCAGATTCCTGACGGATGACAGCATGGTGCTTGCCTCCCCTGATATGGAGCTAGGTAACAGGATGAGTTGCAACACTTTGATGATTGCCTTTTGCTCCTTCTGCTCTACCCACAAATAGTCTGCGAGGAAACGCAGTGCCGGCACAAGCGAGGGCAGCAAGAATGTGTCCACCAAGTCTAGACAAGCGTGTTAGTTGGTTGGTGCGTCACCACACACTGACAAGACGACAGGGGAGACCTACATTCCACACCTCCTTTCAGCGTCTCATCACTGAGGTACCCGTAGGTGTAGGCTACGACAATATTCTGGAACAGAGACGCCACGATCAGGTAAAAATCCTGCGGCGGGCACGAAGACATTAGATCGTCACCTAAACCTCCTGATTCGGTAAAGAGGCCATGAACCCAACCGCTCATATGGCCCTTTTCTTGCTCAGTTAGGTCGTCCCTGTCACGGCCAATGTGCGCTCTGCTGAGGATTTTGGCAACAGAAGAGTCGGGTGAAGTGATGCCAATGTCAGCCGCAGTCAGGTTGTACCGGTACGCAAACGCTAGTACAAGGAGGAGAATGGAGCCAAATTCTTCGTATATGGGCTGATATTCGCCCTGATCCTCCTCGTATCGCCAGTTATCCAGGAGCTGACATAATGGGTCCATGATGGCAGGAAGCTTCTCAAAGAGCAACAAAATGTCCAGAATATGAGGCTTCTGCGCCAATTGGCTACACAGAAGCTTCAGCGACATAGTTTCCTTATTGGTACAGAGTTGACGCATCACCTGTTTCCTGTTAGTCAATGCAGCCTCTGGAGGAACTAGGCTGCAAATGACAGTCATACCTCGACCAGTGCTTGGCAAACGGCACCGACGTTGCCGTCCATTTTCTCGAGTTCTCGAATTAAGCCTTGAACCTTTTCGGCGTCCGCCAAACAGTCATGAACAAGCTTTTCCTTGGAATACTTTTCCAGTGAAGGCTCGTACGACATGGACGTCTCGCCCAGGATTCGTTCCACGTGTTCTCTTTGCACCAAACCGTGAAGGGCACACGCTGTACAAAACTCCTCACGGACGCTTTCTGTGTATGGGTTATTGCTTCTGGACTCGTCAAACATGAGCGACGCCGTGGGGAAAACGCTGGTATCGACTTGGCTCAGGGCTTCAGTGATGCAAAACTCGGACGCACTCGTGTCAAAGGCGGGTTCCCGGAGGAAGAGGTGGCACAGCAGCAGGGGTACTTTGTTGACAAGGAAAGATTTCAACAAATGTGCATCCTTGGGTCCTTCATTGCGAAATACCGCATTGGCAAGGATGTCGAACGACCCCACGATCAACTCAATGGCGCTCGACTGTGTTGCATCCTGTTGGCAAGGCGATTAAGCAGACGGCCACCTCGAGCTCGGAAGAGGGCCGACCTACCTGACATCGGTTCTGCAGATATGATATCAATACGTTGTCGTCGATCAAAGGACGTCCTACAAGCTAGATTCAGTCAGCACAGGTATGTGGCGGGCACTATCTCTGCGTGAGTCTGGCAACATACTGATGCATTCAGAAACACATATACTGCTGATCTCGTGTTGGAAATGAGCAAGTCGGGAATGGCAAAACTGTCTAGAGCAACACTTGCCCCTAAAAGCTCATCCATGGCGGCATTAGCGGCCGCCTGATTGTTCTTATCAATGGGGTCCAGTTTGGCCAAAATTTCTGTGCGGAACATCTCTAGCCTTTCAACAAACCCCGGGGCTGGCTGGAGAGTCTGAATAAAGCCAGCCAAGTTGATTGAGAGGCTTTTTCGAATATCTAGACATGTCAGCGGGCCGATTTGAAGCCGAATGTGAGGCAACCGTACTTTTGGCGTGCGAGCTGCTAATGGCCTTGACGAGCGCAGGAACCTCGACCAGTCGCAACAAGAGCGGAACAAACGCAGCTCGGGCAGTCTCCATGTCAAGGCGGGCTTGAGAACTCTGCAGGTCGCCCATGACATCCGCCACAAAAACACGAGACACCGAGGTGAAGAGCTCCATCCATTTGGAGATGACCTGGACCATTTCCAAAAGGACGCGTGGATCTCGGAAAGCGGTTCCCTCGACTATGATCTTTATGACGTGATAAAACATGAATTCCTCCACCCAAGCCGAGCTTTTCCAGCGCCGAGGCCTTTTTCTTTTGTCGTTTGAGTGCAGGGCAGCATTTCCCGGGTAGCTGCCGTTGCTCGCGGATTCGGGTCCATCTTGCGGCGACGTCGAGGTTTTGAGCTGGGAGTGGGAGTGCAGCGACGAGAACTTGTACAGCACTTTCAGTATTGACGGCGCATCGACATGGCCCAGTTGGCTGAGAGCCTGTATATACGGTGGTATCCGTGGATCGAGGCTCACGACGTTGTAAGGCTGCGGTCGAAGGAACAAGAGGGCGATGAGAAAGGGCGGCAGAGGATGCTGCTCTTGAATAAGAGGGACGAATTCCTCAAACAAGCCCGTCCCAAGGCGCCTGAAGATGCACCTGTCGACAAAACGCGACCAGTACTTGACAGAATCACGCAATGCGCGTCCGGAACCGGGACCACGGCGGTCAGGGCCCGTGGGGTGGTCCATTCCGAAGCTGTTGTTGATTGTCGATGCCGTGGACTGGGGTGAGTTCAAATGTTATCGCGAATTGGACGAGCAGGAAGAGCCAGCGGCCATGGGGGAAGACGGTGCTGCGCACGGCAGCGCAGGAGACGATATTTTGAAGCCAAGGAAGCAATCAGTAAAGTCGATGCGCCTCGAAGGGCCCGAAAGGTGCAGCCTCGTCGAAATGAAGCTTCAGTGTTGAGAGAGCTGCGCGATGAACTGCGCGGACAAAGAAGCAGCAAAGTGGGGCCGAGCTTAGACTAATTGATCATGGTCCACCTTCCTGAGGTAAGTACTCAAGTACCTAGTTACCCAGTAGCGGCCGCCAAGTGACTTGCATAATAAGGACCCGCGCACAGGCCAGGCCACACATGAATTGTGAATCGTGAATCGTGAGAGTCCAACAACTCAACATCTGCATCCGCGCTCCAGGAATCATCCATACGGCCGAGCTGGTTGGATGCCCACCCAGGCACCCAGACTGCACATCGCAGAGTCCCTTTTGCGTCCCATGACTTCAGAAAGCATCCGAAATCCCAACCGATGAGCCGTCAGACCGTCTGGCAACTCGACACCTCGGTGGGTGCAACCTTTCCTCGCCGTGCCCGCCAAGCGCATCGGCGTCTCTGAGACGCCGGATAATGAATAGCACTACAAGACGGATCCCAATGGTGGGACGCAGTCGACGGACGGCTTGGGGGTTGTATACGAGGAGAGGACGTCCCCAGCATGGCGCACCAAACACACGCTTGACTGTCGCTCCATTTGCATGCGATGCCAGTCCATTTTCTCCGCGCAGCCATGCTCACATGCCGACGTGGGACTTTTCATGTCGCCGAGCAGCAAAGGACGTCGTCATTCCCACACACTTGTTTTCCAAGACGGCATCTCAGCTCAACACAACGGGCAGCAGGACAATATTGTCAAGAGACATTGTGGCCCATACATGACAACCCGGCTTGTCGTATAATGCGGCGAGTATCGTGAAACTTTGCGCGCTCCGTCTGGTAAAGTTGATGTAGGAAGCAGCCTCTGTATTTCCACTCCTTCAACAGCAGTAAGCCGGTATTAGTAGGTAAACCTTGGCTCGACTCACCACCGCTGCCAGACATGTGTGCGTCGACGCAAGTACATACTTCGCAGTAGCTATCAAGTAGAAGCCAAGCGTGATTGGAAAAGAGAAGACCGGGTACAGACACGCAAGCTTACAGTAACAAAACCTGGACCTGGACCCCATCAAGAGTCAAGACAAAATGGTTCATCATCCCGCACAAAGGCGGTCGTCCCCCACTCATTCATGTCGAGTACTCCGTACTAGTACTATGAATTCACATCCGAAGACGAGCCGAGTTGCAAGACGAGATCTGCCACTCTAGCCCAAAACAATTAAAAAAGGAAAAAGGAAAAGAGGCGGAAAGGGGAAAGACTCCACCCGCGGGGCCCGGAAGTCAACTCGATTAGGCCGTGGCCTGAAATCCGTGCACCATCCTCCGTATTTGCATGTTCGTGCCGCCTCGTGCGTGAGCAAGCATTACATCAACAGCGGATGAGATGAGGGCGGTCAATTATCCCAGTCGCTGGTTGGTGTTGCGTGTCCCAAGAAGCTTCCCGCCTTTCTCGAGCGACCTTTTTCCAGCCTACATACGATTGGAGTTGACGTCGACTTGGCAAGGTGTCGGTTTTTTTTCATCTGCCATGACATCGGTGCCCCCCCCCCCGCGTTGGGGACTTGGATGTTGGTTGACATTGTGCGAAAGATTCTGCAAGTTGGAATATTTTTTTCGTCTCGCTACTTTCTTCATCCACTATACTTGATTGTTGTCAAGTAGTTTCGCCTACACGGCATCTTGAAGATGAAATCAGTCTTGTTTGGCCTGGCGTCCGTTGGAGCCGCCGCTGCACTTGCGGTCTCGCCTCCGGTATACGCAACTCGTGAGTCGATACATGCACGCAATTTTCTTCATCTTCCCCCCATCTTCAACGTGCTGGGGCACTGACTGGCTCTTCCCAGCGGAGGGAAAGGGCCACGGCCAGCGGTGGTCAGAAGCGTACGTCCAAGCTCGCGCGCTCGTCGCCATGATGACGCTCCAAGAAAAGGTCAACATGACACGCGGCTTCGCCGACCCGGGCAACACCTGCGCGGGCAACACCGGATCCGTGCCGCGGCTAAACTGGCATGGGCTGTGTCTGATGGACGCGGGCAACGGCGTCCGGGCAACAGACATGGTGAGCTCGTGGCCGTCAGGCCTACACGTCGGCGCCGGCTGGGACAAGAAGCTCACGTATCAGAGAGGCCTGTGGATGGCGAGGGAGTTCAGAGCAAAGGGCGGTAGGTTCGCCCAACCCCCGCTTCCTCGGCCCTCGCAGACGCTCAGTGCGACCAGGCAGGGCTCCGGGAAGTCTTGGCTGGCGATGCTAACTGGGCCGAGTGAATGTCGCGCTTGGTCCCAACGCCGGTCCGCTCGGCAGAACGCCCCTCGGCGGTAGGAACTGGGAAGGCTTCTCGGTCGATCCGTATCTCGCGGGCGCGCTGAATGCCGAGACCGTCACGGGCATGCAGGAGGCCGGTGTCATGGCAAACCTCAAGGTGACTCGGGGCCCTCTCGAGGACGCGCCGCGGGCTGACGCGTTCCCAAGACTGACCTGACCCTCTTCAGCACTTCATCGCAAACGAGCAAGAGACGTACCGCCGCCCCTATTTTGGTGTCGAGGCAGCTTCGTCCAACCTTGACGACAAGACGCTCCACGAGTACTATCTCTGGCCATTCATGGATGGCGTCAAAGCCGGCGCCGCGTCCGTCATGTGCTCCTACAACAGGATCAACAACACGTACGGCTGTGAGAACAGCAAGCTCATGAACGGCATCCTCAAGGGGCATTTGGGGCACCAAGGATTCGTCATGCTCGATTGGAACGCGCAGCATGATCTGAACAGCGCAAATGCGGGTTTGGACATGGTCATGCCGCTCGGCGGTTCCTGGGGGGACAATTTGACCGAGGCGGTGCGCAACGGGACGGTCAAGGAGGCGAGGGTCACAGACATGGCCACGAGGTTCGTCCCTTCATACTACCTATGCGCCTTTGGATTCGCGCCATTGCCGCTGACAAAACGGCAGGATTCTCGCGGCGTGGTATCTCGTCGGCCAGGACAAAGGGTTCCCGACACCGGGAGTCGGCATGAAGACTCTCACCGAGCCCCATGAGCCGGTCGATGCTCGCGACCCTCGCTCAAGGCCTGTTCTTTTGGAGGGCGCCATTGCGGGACACGTGCTCGTCAAGAATGTGAATCACACGCTCCCGTTTCAGAAAGCTCCTAGAATGATATCCGTGTTTGGCTATGATGCCGCTGCTCCTGCGACCAAGAACACAGACGTGCTCTTCCAGCTGGGGTACTACTCGTCCAAGGAGATGGGACAGGCTGTCCTCGGTAAGAATTACCACTTCGATCAGGCTGCCAAGGGAGGGACAATTGTTTCCGGGGGACGAGCGGGCTCCAATGCTCCGGCATATATCAGCGACGTGAGTCCGGCCCTTGGCGTCTCCGGAGACCAGTGGCCGAGAAAAAAGAAAGGGAAGGAGAAGGGGGAAAAAAGAAACTAGCTAACCGTTTCCAGCCACTGAGCGCCATTCAGCAGAGAGCCGAAAAGGATAATACTTGGGTGAATTGGGATCTCACATCCAGCGACCCCGACGTCAATGGTGCCTCGGGGGCCTGTCTCGTCTTCGTCAACGCCATTGCCACAGAAGGCTGGGACCGGGATGGCCTCCACGACATGTTCAGCGATACCCTTGTGAACAACGTCGCTTCGAAGTGCGCCAACACCGTGGTCGTCGTTCACACGGCCGGCATCCGTCTCGTCGACCAGTGGATCGAGCACCCCAACGTGACGGCGACTATAATCGCTCATTTGCCCGGTCAGGACAGCGGCGCAGCGCTCGTCAAGCTATTGTATGGAGAGGCCAATTTCTCCGGCAAATTGCCGTATACCCTTGCCCGAAACGAATCCGACTACCCCGTGTACGAGCCGTGCGGTCGTGGACCCAGCAACACCACTAACCCGCAGTGCGATTACACCGAGGGCGTGTATCTCGACTATAGAGCGTTCGACAAGGAGAACATTGCGCCGCGGTATGAGTTTGGGTACGGATTGAGCTACACCACCTTCTCCTACGGAAACGTCGAGCTGTGGCAGGATGAGAGACTTTGCAAGTCAGCTGGAAATGCTACGAACTTGTGGGACCTCGTCGCCGGGGTGAAGGCCACAGTGACCAACACCGGCTCCGTGGCCGGGGAAGAAGTGGCCCAGCTGTATTTGGGAATTCCTGGCGCTCCGCTGAAGCAGCTTCGCGGGTTTGAAAAGGTGCGGCTGGCGCCAGGGCAGTCGACGACCATTGACTTTGGCCTCACAAGATGGGACTTGAGCGAGTGGGACGTCGGAAGACAGCATTGGATGGTGCAGAATGGAGCGTACAAGGTGTTTGTCGGGGCGAGCAGCCGCGACATCCGACTGACGGCGTCGATCGTGGTGCAGGGATGAACATGGCAGAGGGCATGCTGGATTGAGCACCAAGGCGGCGGTGCCGTTGATGAGAATCAAGAGGAACCACTAGCATCCCAATGTTGACATACACGCGTATGAATCCTTGCAGGTTGTGTTGTACACTTCTGTTATACACGACATTCCCCGCTGATGCGAGGATGCGCCTCTCGCAACCAGCTCTTCGTAAGCTCCGATGCGAGCCATGACGGGCCAGCACGTTGATTCCGTCCATCTGACGCAGTCGTCTCGGCTTCTGCATCGGGGTATATCGCTCGCGTCACGTACTTGCGACGTCGTTACCACCAGCCCTTCTTAGGCTTCGCTGCGTCCTTGGTCTCGACATCTGCTTTGCGCGCCTTGTCGAGCGCGGTAACCCTTGCTTCCAAATCGGCAATCTCGGCTTCCAAAAACTGTCAACAGTCTGCAATGCCTCCCCTCCCCGGCGGGACGTGCCTCGAAGAACGGGCAGGGTCAAATCGTACCGTCTGTCTTGCGCCGGTGCTCGTCTGCGTCCAGCTTGACCCATGCCCAGTACACGACTTGGTACGTGAAGACGGCGACGAGGAGGACTTTCGCCACGGGCCGCGTAAATGTCTTGTAGAATCGGGACTGGAGCAACAAGGCGTCAGTTGGACCGGGCTCCAAGCGCCCGCCGTCGGCAACGCACAAAACGTACAGTCGGACCAGGCGTCCTCGCCGTCGCATACGACCTCGTCGTCGATCGAGGCACAGGCGGGAATGGCCGCAGAACAGTCATTGCGACGGGCTGCGGTATCCTTGCCGAGGCGATTGTTCTCTCTCGTGCCGCGCGCAGCATCGCTGTTGACGCCGTGCTTGGTGCTTGACGCGATGCAGCACCGGCAGCATCGAGCCCAGCACGAAGCTCTTTTTTCGTCGTCGAGCTTCCCAACACTTTGCCGACAGGTGTGGCGGTGCGCCCACGACACGAGCCACCCACATGTCGGCCCCACCCACGGCCCCACCGCCGCACGCGCCAAAGCCACCTGTCCGTAGCCGGTTTGTGGCGGCATTGGCGACAGGACACGGGTCAACTGCTTCAACCCATCGACATGTGCATCTCACATCGACGTCCACCTCTCCGCAACGCAACGCAACTCGCAACACGCAACTCGCAACACCACCACGGCCACTGGCACCGGCCGCACTCTTGCACCTCTTGTGGACACCTTGTAGTGCCCCGCGCATCCCGTCAGGAACGCAATCGCCAAGCTCGTCCCGGGCCTCGGGCACTCAAACCGTTGCAACCTCCCAGTCGTCGTCTCCTCGCATCCATCTCCAACCCCCTTGCTGCGGAAACAGAACATATACCGACAACAATGGTGCGTCTGGACGCGGAATCACTCCTCACAGCCACCACGCTGTGCTTGTCCCGTGGCGCGCAAACACACTGACCAGACTGCTTCTCGCAGGCCCAAACCCTTGAGCAGCGCCGCCGAAACGCCAAGTTCGCCAAGGAGCAGGAGGCTCGCATGGGCAAGTCCGACGACCAGATCAAGCAGCGGACCAAGGAGACGCCCAAGGCTCCCATCTCGCCCGTCTGGATCGGTCAGTCCCCCTTCTCTTTGCCCCGTCCCTTGTCCCCGCCGGTCCCGGAATCCTGGAATCCCGCACGCCGGTGTCCTTGGCAAAGCCGTGCCGTCCGTCGTGATTCGACGCCGTCCAAAAAACCCAACACGTGTAGCCGCATCTGCGCCGAGCCGTTGCGTGCTCTGTCCCTGTCCTGTCCGTGGACGACTACACAAAGCCGTCCTGTCCGCGTGAATACCGAAATGGACACCTTTCCCCCCCTCCGCAACCCAGCACGGCTTCGCCAACACTCATCTCAGTCTCAACTAACATTCATTAGTCGTCCTCGGCTTCGTCGTCTTCGGCGGCTTGATGTTCGAAGCCCTATCCCGCATCTTCTCCTAACCGCCCGATCTGCGACGAATCACGACCTCTTCCGGCAGCCAGTCGCAGCGTCCACATGGCGCACGCGGGCTCAGGGCATTGGGGGGGGCGGCGAGCACAACACAGCGAGAAGTCGAAGCCGATAGGACGAGGTGCCGTTGGAGAGAATGAGAGAAAGGGGGGCCATCGGCCCCGACACCAGGTACAGGCCGACAAAAGGGAGTGGAAGCGCACAGGTCTTGTTTGTCACAATTTAAAAACGCATGTATAGCACACGGCGCACAGAGGTCTAACTTAGCTGCCGCGAGGTGCTCGCGAGCAGGCCCTACCAATTGAGCTTTTTCTTCGCCCGAGTCCCAGCGGTGCCCGTACTTGATTCCCACGGCGCAAGGCTGGCATGGCAGCCCGGCACGGCATGTGTACATTCACGGATCGCCGGGGCGGGCGTCCAGACTCGATCCGTGGCCCTCGTCGTCGTAGCTCGCCCGTGGCCCGGGTGGTTCTTCAACCGGGCCCGAGGCATAGAATGGCGTTCCTGGGCCCTGGCGGTCGAAGCTGGCGCTTCCTCGTGGACACGCGGCTGCGGATAAGAGCGCTTTCTGTTGTCCGGAACTTGAGAGGGCTGTCGGCGTCCACGGTCCGTATATCCGGGACGTGGGCAACGTACGACCCGGGTCTTGGTGAAGCCAACACGTGGCGGCTATGCCGTGCCGACGGTCCACTTGAGATTCGACATGGAAGCCAGGAGCGCGGTTTCTTGGCAACGTACGTACCGTACTGTCCGTACCGTCCGTTGGGGCAAACACCTTGCGGCGCGCCTCCGCAAAGGGAGCTTGTAGTCACTCCCGTCACATGCCGCAGAGGACCTCGCGAGGGGGGAGGATACACCGGCACAGGTGCGGCGTGCAGATCGCCGCGGTGCCGGGATATCGTGAGCTATTGGCCGAGGGCTCGCTGCTGGTGAGCAACGCTGCGTGTCACTGGCATTGTGAGACGGCAGAGCTTGGCCACAGGTGATGGTGATGGCGTCTTGGTAAATACTCCGCATCGTGCTACAAGACATGAACAAGTATACCGGCCCGACCTTGGCTGCAGGTGATGGCGTCTTGTAGGAGACTACGCAAAACACTACAAGACACGGCAAGTATACATGCCCGAGCTTGGCTGTGGATGGGCAACGTCTCGTTGGATGCTCTGCACACATCTAAAGCACGTACCGAGCATTTACAAAGGACGACGCGGACATCGTCTCGTCGGAAACCACATCCCGCAGCGAATACCCTCAGCAATACCGCAACCACAACACCACGCGCCGAACCAACCACGTCATGCCAGACACTTGCACACCGTCCCGACTCATAGTGTCCCGGCGTCTTCAATCTCCCTGCCACGCCCACCTATCCTTCGAACCCAACGATACACACGCTCTGCCATGCTCCAGGCAGCAAAGCCCCAGCTCCCAGTCAGACCACGCTTCAGCAATGTGCGCACGAAAAGAAGAGACGACAAGAAGAGCCCAGATCACGACTCGACACAAGCGGCCTACCTACCCTACGCCGGATCGGCCGCAGCTGAAGCCTGTCAACACCGGCCGACGGTCCACGAGTCCACGTCCACGACCACCGCACAAGCCGCAGCGCCGTTCCGCAAGACCCCAAACATCGACTGCCCACCAAGCCTTGGCAGCTCTCTCTCGTGCGTCAACGTTGTCTGTCTGGAAGCGTTGTTCGTTCCCGCGCGGCGCTGCACCCCCCTACCCAAAGGGCTCGATGCAATGACCACATGACAGCGTTACATTGCAGATGGGAGTTGCACATGAGCACTGCATGCTCTGTACGGAGTACGAAGTACGGAGTACGGGAAATGTGAACCTTTTTTTGCCCCATGTGGAAGGATATGCGTCTCGACCAAGGTGGCACTTGGATGTGGGTTGCCCGAGGAAAAGGGGGTTGGGCTCGGTTGGGTCGCATTCGTTCCATGTCAGCATTTTGTGCTCACGCCCTTGTCCCTACTGCGTACTCCGTGCTTTCGCTCCCAACGGCCTGCAGCGGGCAGTGGACGTGACGCACGACTGAAACTGTCATTCATACTCCGTACGGAGTACATGCCGGCATTGTTGAACGATGAGGCAGACCCGGGGCGCCGTGTCCCCTTCCACGTAAGTGTTCGCCCCGTGTTGTCATGTCATGGGGTGTGTGTCTCTCTCTGTGCGTGTAAGAGAGAGAGAAAGACAGAGAGAGTGAGGGAAGAACGAGGAAAGACAGCTCTCGGTCTCTCAACTTGGTCTTCGTCCGACGCCCCGTCAGCAGCCGCCCTCTACAAGCGTGTCGAAGAATGGAGGTACTTACCCATGCATTGAGATGGTGCATCTCCTTCTGTGCATGCCGGAAAAGGTCTGCTTCCCAAGCTTCGCCCGCGAACGGCATGACAGATAGCTCAACTATCAACACCAACACCCCCCCTTGCAGCCGACAAGAAAGAGACACGCCCCTTCCCTTCACCGTCTTCAAGACCAAATCACGCACGACCTCTGCCACCAGTTTGTGACATAGACCAGGAGACAGGCGAATAAGCATTCGTTTTCGACTACCAGTGCGGCTTCTTGCTGGCTCTGTGACGCAGTCAAACACGCAACGCAACCTCTCCACGTGCCTGCACATGCCCACATTGGTACCTTGCTTTGATAATGTGCTACGACACTGCAGGTAGAAACATTGTTCCCCTTTCGATTGGGTTACGTTCTTGGCGACTCGTGTTGAAACGGTCATCCGGTTCCGGTAACCTCGTAGTCAACCCATGGCGGCAGGCGCTTCTTTGCTACACGAACCGGTGGGCTGAGATTGAGTCATTATTAGAACGGCCCCCAAGGCTGCACGCCGCCCTGTTGCTCGTTGCTTCAGAAGAATGACAGGAGCGGTGAGTGTGGCATGATATCCCCGTGGCACTCTTTGACGCCTCCATCCAGTCCCAGTGTCTCTCTCTTTTGTGACTTGCACCCATGTCTCACCGTCATACTTGTGTGTCAGGTCGATGAGGACCACCAGCGCCATCCGGTGCGGATTCCGGCCGGCATGGCAACGGCACGGACTCGCGGCGGGTAGAGCAGTCCGATTTTGATCTAGGCAGCCGCCTTGGCACGACAGACGGCACGACTGCCAAGCATCTCAGTCAGAGTTGCGAGCGCAAAGGCGCCATGAACTGTGGAAGCAACGTCGGAGCTGGCTGATAGCCGCCGACTTTCTCGCCCGAGAAGCCAGAAACCTGCTCATCACGACCACGGACTGGATGAGTTCTCGAAACCGCGACTGAAGCCGGGCTGGCAGCAGTCGATTTCCGGCTTTCCACAGTAGCCGTAGTCTTACGTTCACCCCGTTGTTGTGACTTGCTAGCAAATGCATAAAGCATGTTAGCATTGCGAGGCTTTGCGGGGGATGTCTGGGCATGGGCGGTAACAAGGTGACCAGCGGAAGCTGATTCTTGAATGCCGGGGTCTTCCATACATCTTCTGGAAACGCCCTCAAGAGGCTTGATTTAGCATTCGTGGCGGATGACACACGCAACGCCCCATCGATTTGACGCAGTTTTGGAGGCCCCTTGACAACAGCGCACAACCAACCGCGAGCCGTTTTGAAAAGCTAAATCCCACTCTAGACAGCGTGTCAGCGATGACGAATGGCCATCGGTGGTGGGCAGCCCCTGTCAAGGCCACGCCTGTTGGCGGTTCTGGATAGTTTCCAATCACCTTCAACAGGCCCATCATGTAGAGAATCAACATCCTGGTTGTCCTTGCGTGTCCCGAGCTCTCGGGACACGCTCCCTCTTGGCCGCAACAGTCTCCAGCGAGCAGCAAGAGAGCAATCAGGCACTGACGGTACGGACCACTGTGCCCTGCGTTGCAGTGCTTGCCGGTAGGGCTGACGGCGGCGAGGGAGGGGACATCCGAAAAGTTGTGTGTGTTGTGTGTGACGAGTTCACGAACGACTTGACGACAGGCCTCCTCGTCCCCGACCTCCCCAGAAATCGACTTATGGCTTTCCAGGAGTCCAGGTGTCATCTCCATTCTCCAAAGTTCCAATGCGTACCCGCACATGACGAATTGCGAGTGCGCCGACAGGATACCCCGATTCTAGGTCAACCACATGTCCATCGAAACGGACGAGAGGGTATACCAGCTGGGTAGTTATTACCTCGTAGTTTTCGCTCCAAAGCATCTGCCGCACGACTCATCCTCGAGTCCGAAATCCGACCGCAGTTCACCGGGCACATAACTCGACAGACCCTGATCTGCGGTTCCTGAACCTCAGCCCTCGCTAAGCACTGTTTCTCAAATCCAATCAGTGTCGATTCCGAAGGTGACCCTGGCCCCATGTCCCATTGCAACGTCCTTTTGTCTAGCGGATGTATATACCCTATTGAGCCTTGGCAGGGGCTGTTGTGGAAGTCTCACGAGCTAAGCGTGACGCGTGCGCTTAGCCTCAACCTCCGCCGTGATGCTCTGTTCGGCAAAGGAGGCTCTGGAAGCTCTGGAAGAAGTGTGCTGCGGCTCAACTCCCACAGCTTTAGAGGCGTTAATAGTTGATAGCCCTGAGCAGCAGCCGTACTCACAGAAGCATCGGGCTTGCGTGCGGCTGGACACGGACGTGGTAGTCTGTTTAACCTGAAGTAGGAAGGAATCAATGCCATACTTACTGGTGTGCCATGACGCTCGGATTCCTTGTGCTCAAGTCAAGCCGTCCACATCAACAAGCATTTCAATAGTGCCGCCATTTTGTCCTCTCCTTTTCATGGACAGGAGTTATTGCAAGAGGTCACTAAACATTCCTCCGCCTCGACGGCGGGTGTGCGGCGTGCACAATGTACATCGTTCGGCCCTAAAGATCGAAATGCATCCATGATGGGCAACTCAACCACATCCTTGAAGCTACTGGCACCACATGTGGCAACGTTTTTCCGAATGTCTGGGCATGCATACTCCCTAGTCAAATCGGACAAGTGAATCATTCGGGCTGTGATGGCTTGTAATTCAGCCACAATCGTTTCCACTGCTCTGAATAAACACATGAGCCCCGGACAAAGTAGATCATCATCGCGTCATTTGCCCTGGCCGGGTGGCTTGCATGTTTGTTTCCACCCTGGTGATGGAAGCCATGACGCCACCGTGGCGGATTCATGCCCCAAATGGCCCATGCAGCAGCCAACCTGTTTCCCCATGGGCATTGTCAGGAGGCAGACGACTTGACCTATCGATCCTGGTCGACCGATGGTATGGTCAATACATACCATACCCCCGTAATGTCAGAAGGGATGCCCCAAACAGATACAGTGCTGTACATACCGCCAGGGAGCATAACAAACTTCTTCTGGGGATTTGAGCAAATCCACTGCGGCATTACTTCATTCAGGAGTGAATTGTACAACAGCTGAGATTCTTGTGTTTGTGATGTTCCTCATCTTGGAAAACACATGCGCCTCGGTTCGTAGCCATTCGGCATTTCTGAGCGGATGTGCCCCCAGACACCACGCCGGGAACGCCCATGCACAGCAACCTGGTAAAAGCCTCCCACAACGGGCGCCAGTTGCGATCTACCTAGGAGATAGGCAGTGCCTTGTAAACTGTTTCGGCAAGCGGGACCTCTGTCTTTGGGTTCCAGATATGATCGTTGATATTCAGTTCGAGGCATATCATGACATCTAAATTTGTCGTTGGATTCGTTTTGTGTGACAAGGCCGAGCGCGGTCCTAAGCACTGTGAACGAGCCATGTTGAGCGAGCTGGTGACGTCCAAGAAGCAATTGAGGGAGCTGGTCATGTTGTCGACTCAACATGTCTGCCCCTTTCCCACGTAGCATATCATCCAAATTTCATGCCTCAATTAATTCCGCTGACCCAATGCTGTATGCAATGGGGTCAGTGACCCGACTAACTTGTGCAAGATCGGTGTTGCGGTCCAGTACGGTAAGACGCAGCCATGGGACCCAGAACACTGAAGGCTGACCGTTGCTGCCCTGCGAATGTAATTTGCGTACAACATGTCGTCGGCAGTTACAGTTGCAAAGGGCTTCGGTAAAGATTATAATTTGAAGGAATTGACGCGGAAGCCGGCGGACAAGCCTCATCGTGCACTTTCAATCTGAAACACACATCAACGGCTTAAGCTGGAGTCTGGGACAATGTCGTCCACCACGCCGCATTGGCTTGAACGACGCGTCCGTTTATCCAGGGATGTCCTGTGTACCTTGTTTGCAATGTATGAACACATCTCGACAAGTGCCTCGGATCGAGATAACCGTGACATATAAACTGTACGGGCACCGCGGCTGATCTTCGTTTCTTTGGCGTTGCCGTCGCAAATTGGTCAAGAATTTGCAATCCGTCAATGCTGTCAGTCCACAGAGATCAACAGAAGTACAACTCTCCCCACAGCAAGGTTTCGCTTAGTCTGACTCCTTCCTGGAGGGTAATCACTTGGGTCACATAGTTCCTAAGCTCTCATCGGTCCAATAGGATACGTGTAGACACCCTTGGCCTCGCCGGCGTTGTAAGACCTGGCTGCACCAATCATTACCATGCGTGTGATTTTCGAATTGCGTGTGTCAACAGAAAGCCGAGGCTTGAGTGGTTGGTTGCCCCTGTTGAGCCAAATACTATGAAAGGGCTTTTATTATTGCCGTACCCGAGCCCATTGGGTAAGCCTAAGAGTGGCCTCAACCTTTCCGGATAATCAATTTGTATAATATGGTGCCTTTGAGCAAATGAGGAGGGGTTTTTTGACCATATGGTCTCTGGCTAGCAATGATTGAGTAAACGGGAGGATGACGTGGCTGTCGGCCGGCAATTCCAAACTGAGTCAACTTTGCCTTTGCACGAGCTGGGGGCGGAAACATGTCTTGGCGCCGTCGAGGTTCAGAGCCGGGGGGACATGAGCCTGGAACTCAAGCTGTTGTACACTGTGAACAGCTCGATGAGATTAGAACATGTCAATCAAAAGAATGCTACCCTACCTATTCCGGGGATGACCTGTACAAGAAAAATTGTGCATACAATAGTACATGCTACGTGTACTCCGTAAGCGCTTCAGCCATGTGCAGCGCAAACAAGTCGTCGTTCAATATCCTGGTTGACACGTGCTGGACGCAGCATGAAGCAGGCCAACTCTTGCGAGGTCCAGCTCACAGAGTAACGATACTCAGATGTGGTAGAGGGTGCTCTACAATCCATGATTGGAAGTGGCAGAGCTTCTCACCCCAAGAATAGAAGCAAAATGATGCCGCGTTTCTGCCCAGCGCAACATCAACCCAGATGTATCGAAACATGCTGGGCCAAATAGACGGAATGATCAGTTCAAGGCAAGCTGTGCTCTTGGTCCATTGAAACGAGCCGTGGAATGTGGGACTGTCCCTGAACAAGGCCAAAATTTGACGCGGGACGTGACGTCCAGGACCTGTCTTTAGATGCACTCATCAATGCGTACGAACCACCAGTTCTAGCTGTTTGGTAGTCTTGATACACTCACTACCTTGGATCATTCCCCGAGCTATTCGTACTGATAGAGCTTGACGAAAGTCCAAGAAGAAAAATGGCCATGATGTACCAAGTTCAGAAGCCAATAATTCTTTGGCATACTCTAGTTGACTGCGAATTCTCTGTCAGCCACCAGCGATAACTCATTAAGCAGCTATTCCGTTTGGGTCCGGCGGTCCTTGCTGTAATAGCCTGTGGAAATTCCACTACATACCTACTACCTAGGAAGGTAAGGGGTGCGTCGTCGTAGTAGTAGTAGTAGTAAAGAAAATTTTAGTAACACTTTTTGCTATTTATGGCTGCATGAAGCAAGGTGAGAGTGAGTGCTCACCGGGATGCTATATCTCAGAAGTCTCTTGGAGTGGCTGGAAGCTTTTGGGATGTGTGGGCTTATCTTACGTCGAGTGAGATTGTTCTGTGATAGAATCTTTGTGATGTATTGGGTGAAACTTTTCCGTCGTATAACTCGCGTTCGCACGATAAGCTCCTTGCTTCGATTGAGTCTGGCGGGGCACCACCTCTTGACGGAGCCAGGGCCATGTTAGCCCTGGCTTCGTCGTTTCAAAGATCCACCCTTCTGACAAAAGGCCTCTCAAGAGGATGGTCCACGCTTAAAATATTCCAAGAAAAACATTGCGGCCGAATGATCTGTACGTGTTCCGCACCTTGGCTTACCAGGTCGCTTGCCTGAGTCGAATTGCAAAATCAGGATGTCTGCGTCATTTGTGCGTAAGTTTGGAAGTGCTTTTTTTGGCATCAGTGGCAGCTCGGGTTCCATGCCCGTGGTGCGTGCACTGATCATCATGTCGTGGTCAAGGCAGCCCCAATTGTCCTTTGAAAGCCGCGTTCATGTGGATAGTAAGATTATTGCAAAATGCAAGTCGCAGCCTGATTGATCAACGATGGAAGTTTCAGTATCTTTGGGAGTCTTGGAGGGTCGATGTTTGTGCAGAGCGAATTGGTTTTCCATCCTTTGAGGCGATGAAGACCGGCAATGACGCCAACCCTGCAATGAACAATGTGTTTCAAAGGGCGCACCACACAGGCTTTTGTTGAGCGCCTGCATCCACCGAGAATAGGAATCCATCTTGAACGACACCGATTAGCTACATGCTGTCGGCGGGTTTCGTCAGGGGAAATGATGGCGATCGTGAACTCACATACATATAGATATTTGCACGAAGACGAGCAGACAATCCATCGCTGACACGTCCTGCAGGACCTCTTGGCGCCCAGTTTGGTCAGCTATGCGGGAAACCGCCTCGTCCTTGGCTGGTTCATCAATGTTACCAGCCGTGAACCCGTGTCAAGTGGATGATATTGACCCGTAGCGGGAGCCAAAGGTGGCCGGCCAGGTTTGTCCGAGCGTTCAGGACCATATTGCATATTGCATATGCACATCGAGACCGAGCCCCCTGTCACGCTGATCCGCAAGAGTCAAGACCAGTCGATGCACGCATGTGCGTATTGGCGCAGTAGTTGGAATGTGCGAATGGTTTCAATGTCGGAGCGTGTTTCCTGCTACGTACGAGGGCCCTGAGCCCAAGGCTTAGTCAGTGCGTCGGGACTCAGGACTCGGGACGAACCAGACGTTGTCATGGAAGGAGACAAGGATGCCAGCCGCAAGCCTCCTGCCTGTAAGAGCAGAAGGGCACCAACTGATGCCTGGTCTGAAATACGGAGTACAGCAGGCACACTTGGCTGTACCTGCCGAAGCCAAGTCTCCGCCATTCCTGTGGTCCATGAGCATGTCGGGCCATTGCGCACTTGCAACACCATCGTGAGCACCGTGAAATGTTGTTGACTGAGTTTGTCATCTTGGCCGTCTCGTCGTCTAACGAGCCGCCCGCTTCGCCTCTTCTTTTTTGAGCCTGAACTAATCGACTTCAGCACACATAGTTGCCTCGGATTCCCCGTCTATCCACTTCGCCTACCTTAACCGCTTCTGGCAAAAAAGATGACACCCGATACGACTCCGCATCCTGCATCTAAAAGTGCCAGACGCCTCCATGGACCATATATACGCCTTCTGCTACTCTACGGAGTACGGTCCTCCCCGTTCCCAATGCCACCTAATCCACCTCTCAAAGCTCACACACCGGCATATCGTCTCACGCCCGCCTTGGGGGGCTTTTGCTGAGCAGACGCAAGCCTTGCGTTGACCTCGGTCCCTGACATGGCTTGTCGATGCAACGCTCCCCCCATAGAGCTGGTTTCGTTTGCTGCCCCCGGGTTCTCAGTGCTGGGCCCTGGCGATGGGGATTCAGCCTGATAGACGCCCCAGGGCCCACGCCCCTCCAAGTGGCAGCCACGAGCCTGGCAGCCCCGAGCCTGGCAGCCCGCACATGCGTCGTCCTACGGGGACATCCGGAGGCTATGACTTTCATTCAGACTTTCACACCTCCACACAAGGCGACAGGGATTGTGGCCGCCACAACGGTTGGCCATCTTGCCTCACATCACCGTCGACTGCCTAGGCGTGTATTCTGCCCTACCGGGACAGGTCCCTACTTAGACATCCCGGGTCATGGCATGTATGTACCTGGTGCCGGCCGTCGCAAGCTGGAGTCAACTTGCACGGGGGGGTGTCTTGTCATTGCAGATCGAGTTGAGTTCCCAGATGGGCTTCCCTGGTCTCCTTGCTTCGAGGAGTGGACGAGGATTTATTATTAGAGGCCCTGCCCGCTGCTTTCGAACATCTCACGATCCCCTTCTTCAGCTCTCCTTAGCATCACCCTCGGTTGACAAGGGATTTGAGGACCTCAAACTTGGTTTCTCGGCATAAACAGCACAGCACTTACACTTGCACTCTACGCCTCTTGCCTGGTTCGCTGTGTTGACGAAGATATCACACCCTGCTGTCAAACGTAGGACGACATTCCGAGTGCCGAAGCATGAGACAGAACTCCAACTGGACTGCCCCATCATCTTCGTCGTCCCCATACACTTCACGCCAGTACTAGATGCCTGTAGAAACACGGCACCTTTTACTGTCAACGATTTGGACTATACGCGTACACAGGCCCGCGCCGGTTCCATCTGGTCGCATCAATTCCACTTCCCCGAAAGGGAGGATCACCAAAATCGATATTCTCCGTCGGCCAAACTTGCTACGACTTGCTCCAGAAATTACCAAACGCCTATCCAATCGCGCAGAAGACTTCCCAAAGCAACAGAGTCAGACCAATTCGAAGGCCTTTCCCAAAAAAATCCGACAAAGATGGCGAGAAATGGCTCTGAGAGTGGCGCCAGCAGCTCGTCCTCAAAGAAGCATGCTGCTTCACCGTCCTCAAGAAAGTCCAAGCCCAGTCCAAAGGACGTTGACTGGACCGATGTGACCGACCCGGAGGAGAGAAGACGGATCCAAAACCGAATAGCCCAGCGCAAGTTCAGTAAGTGCATATTGGCACCTACAAGGTAGCTTGACAATTGCTAATGAACGGTGTAGGGGAAAAAGCTCGAGAGAACAAAGAGAAGGCGGAACGGGAGCTGCGGAATCACGAGCACGCCGGCAATAGCTATCGCATCCCCTCGCCCTCAGACTTCAATGTGGACAGCGAGTTGTCCGGTCTACCTTGGGGCAGTGTTAACTGGGGGCTAGCTGTGTCAAGAGGACATGAAGCCCAGAGCCGTCGCAGTAGCGGTCGCGGCACATACGTTGGTGACGACCCTTACTCTGGAGCACACTATGTCACGTATGGCCATGGTATACATCAAACAGCCAGCTATGGCAGCAGCGGTGGCGAGGAGGCCTATTACGACGATACGAACTTCACCTATGACCCAAGAGGCATACAGGTGTATCCTCCTGTGAAAGTGACCCAATGACCAACCCAGCCACTTGGGCTTCTGGTTCCTTGTTTCATTTCTTACTTGCTCTTTCGGTTGATCGAGCTGCCTCGGTATCCCCGAGCTGGCGTGGTGGGGAAGCAGCAGAGGGGTGCTGAGTTGATTGATTCTTGCATAACGTGATAGTGCGGCAAGATGCAAGTGTCTCAGCCTCACTGGAACTCTTCCCAGAAACCTGCTCGGGAGTGGCAAGCTGGAATTGCAGGCAGATGCAATGCAAAATTTGCCCCGACGATTGCTCTCGGTTAGTCTTGTCTAGATGGCTACGCGTGTTCTCATTTTGGGCGGGAAGATCAGGCGAGCCCGGCGTTGAGTCCTCTCATTTCCCACAAGGGTCGGAGCAGAGCTGAAGGGCTCTGGATAGCCCTGCTTCGACCATTGTCGGCTGTATCACTACCTGTGGAACCTTTGTTTCTTTTCGTGTTATTAGAGGTACACTATTACACAGATACAGACATGGTATCGTAGAAAATGGCAAGATTTATGACAGAATGGCATCACAAGCCGTCTACCTGAGTCGGTGCAGCTCGCTGCAGCAAGAGCTAGCTGCGTTGCCTCCGCCTCTCCCCTCGCCTTGATCCAACTGAAACCGGTGCGGTGCAATAGTTCAAGTCGAGGTCGCCCGCAGTCATTGGGCGGCTCTTCGGCCAGACACCCTGATGGCGTGCGACGCGTCGTTCCAGTTCCTCCAGACCAAGAGCCCCAGGCCTCTGGATAATGAATGTACTAAGAGATATTTCCGGGGCAGGTCGGTGCGATCGGTGGGGGCGGCTTATGCACCGACGTGCTCGGAACCACGCGTTGCCCATGTTCAGAAGAAAGGGGCCATGTTCCATGCATACTTGTGTACTGAGGGGCATTGGCTTGGTAGGGTTCCAGAATGTAGATTGCGCGTTGTATAGGCTGGGAAAAAGAGGGACACGACGGATGTGTGCCGAGTGTTTCTGAGTGGGCGCTTTGATCACTGTGCCATTTGACAAGCCGCAGATCCCAGATGGGGGCAAAACGTCACAACGCAGCACGCACCGGAAATATGCTGTGCAACACCAAAACAAAAGCGTCTGAATAGCTCCCCCTTCCCCTGCATGGTAAACCTGTGGGCCTGGCAGGCCGGGACTGAAGCTTGCGTGCGGTCTTGGGCTCGTCGTCTGTGAAAGGAGTCCGACACCACAGTTTAGTTCCTTGGGGAGCTGGTGTAAGTGGCATCCCTTGTCTAGCGTCTTCAGCCCTGGTGGGTTTCACGTACGGCTCTGTGTTGTGCGTACGCGCCTCGTCTCAAGATCCAAGACCCAAGACGTCAACTGGTCGGGGTTGTGGGTTTGTTTGTTTGGCGGGGGATTCCCGTACGGGTATCGCTGAGGAAGGAAGATGCGGCCCCCCCTCCTTCCCAGCGCGAATAAGATGCACATGTGGTTTCGTTGCACGGCGGCCCCGCAGTCGGCCTTGTCATTGAGCCTCGCCCGCCGCTCGCCGGGATGGAGATACGCGCGCAGAACCCCCCCTTTCGAGGTGAAGCAGAGACGCGACGGCGCTGGGGATGAAATTTTGTTTCTGGGAGGTTGTTCGACAGGGCTGATGTGATGTGCGGGGACACGTCGACCGCCACGACCTCGTTTCATCCGCCGTCCGTCAAGTCGAGGTCGAGGTCCGACAGGCACAGCAGAGCAACAGCGTGGGCAGGGGTTCCAGGTTTCCCAAAGTTCCTGCACGTGGCTCTGTGCAGCTCAGCCGCGGCTCCACCCAAGATTGGAACGGCTTTCGCCCTCCAGGTGGGGCCGGACGACGTCTCCACTTGGACAAGCGGCCCGGCTGGCTCATCGTGGGTCCCGTCGAGACGCCAAGGGCTGCTCAGCAGGCGGCTTTTGCCATCTAGACTTCTACGCCGTCTACTCCTTTGTGTGTCTGCATGCGTGGGTTTTGACGTCCGGTCCAGCGGCCGAAACGGGAGACTTGGGAGGATGCAGGAAAGGGCCTTTTCGCTGCAGGGCAACCTGTTTCCCCCCATCAGCCGACATGCGCTTTTGAGGAAAAGGGAAAAGGCGAGCTGGTGGTATTCTCACGTCCGTGGGTGGGGGCGTCTGCACCTCACTCCGGGAGAAACCACTGGAGCTCTCGATGTTTTTTATCATTTTATTTTATCATTTTTCTCTTCTTCTCCAATAGCCAGACGAGACGGGGCGCTGGGCCAGAAGGAAGAGTAGCGAGATAAACCGTTGCGTTGCGTAGCAGTGCCGGGAAAATAGCTGCAGGTGTCGGACATATTGGCCGGATGCGAAGAAACCCGCATGTAGTGGTGTTGGGTTCGCGGGCTGGCAAGCGCAGTGAGTTGAATTTTTTCTTCCCCAATTTTTCCACTTTTGGACGTGAAATACGTTAATCGTCATCTTCTTCTTCTTCATCAGCTGGTTTTAACATGGGGTGTGGGGGGAGATGCATGGAAGGAACCCCGAGGATTTTCTTTTGCTCCCGTCTCTATTTTAGGCACCAGTCAGTCGCGTGGCACGATCTTATCGATGGAACGCAAGACGGGGTGCCAACAAGGAGCATGGGAGGACCAAGGGTGTGTGTGGTGTTGCAAATGGGCGGCGGCCCATGGTTTTCTGGACCATCTCCCTGCCAGTGCTCCGTCAGAGTAGATGGTTCCTGCAAGGCCTTGAAAAATGGGGTCATATTGCGCCAGATTGCTGCAGGCTTTTTTTAAAAATTTCTCCTCCTCCGTTGGAGCCCGTACTCCGGGCCGTGTGATGCTATGCCAGTGATGTCTTCCGGAATTGACTTTGTGGCCACCGAGGAGCGTCGGATGCATAAGACAGCCCTGCCTTGCCCTGCCTTTTTCCATTTTGCTTTTGGAAATATTGGCAGCAGCTCCGTGGGGGGGAAAACCTTAACGTCCAAATGAGTGGTGTTTCTTGGAAATCGGCCGCTAGCTCTCAGCACCTCCCGGCATCGTTGGACAAGTCGACTGGCATTGACGGGGGGGGGGGCAATTGCTCGAGTATTGAGACCAGGACGGCTTGGACGCTGGTCACTGGTGACTGCATGTAGCTGACATGCATCGCGCTTCCGCACGCACGCACGCACGCACGCTCTGCCATGTGGACGCTGCAGCCGGCTGGCCAGGTCAAAAGGACCCTGACCGTGAGGGCGCTGGCTCCCATCGACTTTCCATCTCCATCATTGTCTCGTTCCATCTCGGATTGCTTGCCTTGCGCCGGCCATGTGCCGGCCGCCTCGGCGATGGGACGAGAGACCAGCACGCCTCCGACACGGCAAACACCCCATCACTCGCACGGTACCGCGAAATCGAGCTCGCAGATGCGTAGTTGCAGAGTTTTGCCTCATGTCAAGCCGTTCGGTTTCTTTTTTCGTCGCAACCCAATTGCGTAGCTACTGGTGGGTAGATAGACGGCACCTAGGAAACCAAGTTGCTACTCGGTACCAAGGGTTGCTCGAGCACGGCGACGGCTCCATGTCCAGCACGGCCATGCGTCTGAGTTGAAGCCCCCAAGTCCCTCTAGCCTCTTTTCCTGGCCGACTCTCAATCTGGCAAATTACCAGCACCGCCCGATAGGGCCGCTCTCCATCCTGAATGATCCATCGTCTGGCTGCCTGGTAAATCTCGCCAGACCCGGCAAAGACTACGCGAGCGTGAATCGTGCAGCTTGGGCAAGTAAGCCAACAAGTGCCGGGCAGGCGCCGCGGGCGCCCGACAAGTTGCATTTTGGCATCTTTCGCATTCATAGTGCCTTGTAGGATGGAATACATTGGTACAATCCCTAGACAGAGTGCCGTAGAACTGGCCTGTGACATGTTTGCAGGCTCCTCGTCGCCGTCTTGCGCCGTCAATCGCTTCTGACGACAGCGCGCCTTTGTGGAGGCCCATCCATGCCCTGATACATCAGCGCCATTCATCCGGGCTCATAATTATAGCACCTGAATTCTGCTTTCGTCTTCTCGAAAGACCGGCTTCTGGGATTTCATGTAGACAATAAAGGCACGGCGTGGCGGCTTGTTGGGATCGAACTGTCTGTTCCCCGTTGAACATGTGTAGAGTTCCCCTTCAACAGGGGTGCCTGGGCCAAACCCCAACGTGACGCAACAATCCAATGCCCGAGCTACAAGGCAGTCATCCCGAGTTATGGTGGGCCGAGGTTCTTTTCAAATATTTGGTTTCATCGTGATATCTGGGGTAGTCGTGCGTTGTTTTTTTGGCGTGGCAGGCTTGGTTGTTTTTCTTTCTTTCTTGGCTGGTAGCTTTTTGCGCCCTTTTCGTCTGTATCCGCTAGGAAACGCCGTCTGTGCCCAGACCGCGTCTGCCCCGTGCTTGGTTTGGAGATTTCTTCGAGCCTGAATTGCGTTGATTCCGCTCCTTGTTTAGCCAACTGGGCTATGATGAGGCAACAACCCTGTGGTGGATAGTTACCACGTTTGCGGAATGTACAGAACACCAGTACCGGACCTCGTGTTGCACGAGTTCTTTGACGAACTTGGTCTGATATAATAATACGGAGGCATGTCCAAGATCAACCTGCTCTGCCTGCCTTGACTCCCACACCGCCGAAGCAGTCACCAACTCTCATCTTGGCCAATACCATGCCTCGGGCTGTAACAAGAAAACCGCAATAGAGGCGTCTGTCAGATTATTCCATCCGGTACTTCTGGCATTTCAGCGAACCATGGTGGTCGAGCCTTGTTGCATGAAAACTCGCTTGGGGTTTTCACCCTCTCCAGGGACTGATTGGGTATAGCTACTCCGCACCCATGCCTTGTACCTCAGATTCAGTGTTTCGACTCCTTATCAATGGGAACATGCCTTATTCTGAAAGCGGAGGAGGGCGGCTGCGGTTGTGACACCATCGTACAGTCACGGTTTGAAAAGTACCGTGACGGGGGCGTGGGGGCACACTGTTAGGGGTCCATTTGTCTTACTTGACTGATTGTCGAGTAGAGCCGAGGGTACAATAAATTCAATAGGTTAC